CCAAATAACCAATTTTACCCTTAAAACAATCTGATTGTACAGCAAGTGTCAACTGAACATGTGATAATGCAGTCTGACAGCTCTAATGTGATCGCAACTACGCAATCGTAAACTTGTTTACATTTTTTTTGGCGAGAACTCATCGCAACTGATTTCTGGACAAGCTTCACTGCATCCTGATCCATCCAATGTACCAGAAACCTTACTTTTTTCTAAATAATTGCAGAAGACTGACAAATATATTAAATGCAAGAATTTCAATCTAAATGTGTCAGCAAGATCTTCTGAAGGCATAAATTTTGCTACTGAAGCGTCGCCAAAGATCTTGCAATATTCATCCACTCTCTGCACAGCACAGTAGGGATTGACGTCAGTGATGAACACGTAATAGGTAATTAATGTTGCCTCACTCAAGTTTTGTAATTCTAGTAATGGTGTCAATGCTTACTGATGGCAGCGCTTACTTACTTACTTAATGGCTTACTCTCTGCACAGTGGTCCAGGTCATGTCAAGTTAGATTTCACAATAAATAGACTTGATCCACATTCCATACTGAGATTTAAATGATTGAAAGTTGTTTTAAATTATAAAAACCCATTGATACGTTCCAGATTTGAATTTTTTCCATTTTTTTTTGCCCTATTATGTTGAATTTATCTTAATAAGTTCACTTCAAATTCTGAATGATTTCGTCTGCCATCGCGAGTTTTCGAACATTTTGTGTCTTTTAGAAAATGTTCGTTGTTTAAAAGGGGAAACTATTTCATTATATAAAACATAGAGCACATAGTGGCAAACCAGTGATTTTTTAGAATCAGTTTTTTATGTATGATAATTCTGGTATCCAAGATACTTTACTGGTCTACTAATAGGACTCAAAAATGAACTTGAGGAAGAGTCTAAAACTCTCTGCTTGCTTTGCCACTATGATAGAGCATTTACCATAACATGCATTAATAATACAATTTAATTTAATAAAAATTAATTTTTAATTTAAAAAATTTAATCATATATTTAATTTAACATTTTTCTAATAGAATTTAATTCTATAGCATGTACCATCTAGTGTATTAAATAATACAATTTAATTTAATAAAATTTAATTTTAATTAATTTTTTTAATTTAATTTAAATGTACGTACAGCTTCAACCGGTAAAAATGAGCATCATAGGAATGAAAGTAAAACTGCCATTCATACATCACAAATTGAATGACAATGAATGGATTTGATAGGTATTTTATTAATCCTGTTTATATATAAGAATGCAAACAATGCTTCTATTTCAGAATGATAATGGAAATGTCCCTACTATTTCAGAAACTGCTCTTGAATACACTTGCAAAAACTAAAGTTCTGTAATCAAAAGAGTCTTCAAAATGACAAAATCTTTCAATTTAAAATTTTTAGCTATATGAGCAAGAGTGTCAATCATCATAGGAGCTGTAAGAAAAAATTCTTTGTTTTAGATGTAAAGGAATATTTTTAAATTAAAAGAAATGCAATACTTGATTTTTGGAAATACAATGATAAAATTATTGATCTGTATTAGAATTCAATAGATGTTACGCTTTCAGAATTAATTTGAAAAAGTTTGTACCTATTTAAAATTTAGAATTTTACAAATTGCATAAGGCAATGTACAAATTCAAAATCACCTATGAGCAGTGGTGGGCACAGTTCCGCTAATCCGCTAACCGCTAATTAGCAAAGCTAACTTTTTCCTTATCGGATTAGCTGTTCAGCTAACTTTGAAAACCTTTAGCGGACCAATTAGCTTCCGCTAATTTTAGTTCCGCTAACTGGCAGTCCGCTAAAAATGTTTAAAAATCTCTGATTTAATGCTAAGTATCGTAAGCCGTCTGCCACGCCCACACTGACGGTTGACTACGTCATCATATGTTCGTCAGCCAATCACGTCTTGTGTTGCTGGCAGTAACACAAGACATCCTATACTGCAGTCCTCTGGTGGACGCAATGCTGGCAGGCACCACGAAAAGGTTTGGGCCCCTCCTAGAAGACAAGCAGTGCCAGCTGGCAGCGGCCTTCCACCCTAAGTTTCGCCTGTTCTGGCTGGTAAAGCATAGTCACAGCCATCTCAGCAGAGTACAGAAGGCCATGGAGACCGCCGTGGAGACAGCCCTGAGGGAGACCGTTGAGGAGGGCAGCAGCACCACCAGCAATGACGAGGATGGGGAAGATGACTTCTTCAGCAGCATTACTCAGCCTATGGAGTGCAGGAGGAGCCACGGGTCACTGAAGTCCAAGCCACAGAATATGGTGAAGACCAGGCTGGAAAGCAGCTCGAAGGAGGAATTAACTGACGTTGCCTTCTTGGGCGAGCAGGTGTTGATGAACCTTTTCGTTAAGTACAACACAGCCATCCCATCCAGTGCTGCAATTGAGCGCCTGTTTTCCATAGGCAGGGGCATCTTGAGTGCCAAGAGAGCCACCCTGTCAAATGCCAACTTTGAGAGGCTGATGTTCATGAAGGGCAACAATCATCACCTCGAGGAGATGAAGGCGAAGGGCAACCCAGAGTAAAAGGAGTGTGTAACCCTTGTGTAACCTTAATATTTCTTATTCGTTTAATAAACTGTATGTTGGATGTCAACTACCGTAAAATGGGGTAACTTAGACCGGCGGGGTAACTTAGACCACTTTTCGTTTTTTTAACAAAAACCCCCACAACTCAAAAACTATTTGACATAGAAAAATTTGAACTCGTTCGAACGACGTTCGATGGAGTAGGCGCGTCGCTACTGCCAGTTTAACACAAAGACTGCGCGTGATCTGAAAAGTAATTCAGATTGTTTTTTCACTTTCGAAACATAATTCTGTGCGTAAAGGGCTAGTTACTCGTTAGCCTTTAACTGGTCAAGATCGCTGCCATATCTACTGCTCACTTTTATCAAACTACATAATTTTCCTTTCCTTTGCTATTTTTGATGATTCATTATAATTATTCCCATATATTCTTAAGTTTGATTAGCCCGGTTTTGCTTAACACGGTAAAACTCGGGAATTTATTAACCGTGTTAATCAAGGGATTGCTGTATAGACCTGTATTTTGCATGTTTCAATTCAAGTTTAATTTAGCTAGTAAAAAAAAGGCATCATTTATAAAAAAAGTGGTCTAAGTTACCCCATTTTACGGTACTGCCTAATTTCATTTGTTCATTTAATTATTTATGTTACGTACATCTTGATCATTATCTGATCTTGGCATGCTACATCTTTTTGGAAAGCTCCTTTTCAAGGCTTAAAGTTCAGCTCTATAGGCCTTTTTTCAGAGTTCCTCCCCCCCTCAAATTAAGCCAAATCTAAATTTATATATTAAAAGTTAGCGGTTAGCGGTTAGCGGCAAATTCCGCTACATTTTTTTGTTATTTATCGGTTTAGCGTTATCGAAGCTAACTTTTCATTTTCAGTTAGCGGGTTAGCGGTTATCGAAGCTAACTTTTAGGTTAGCTGTGCCCACCACTGCCTATGAGTATGAATTTAAGTCTCATGACTGGAGAAGAATTCCAAAATTTATTGTACTATCACGTAAGCATGATATATATAAGCTTTTGTCCTTTCGATGAACAAAGTTTATTTAGGTTCTATTGGCCGCAATGGGTAGAACAATTTGACATATTAGCGGCCAACGATTGATTGGCCATCAGTGATTCCAATGATTGGTTGGGTTGCGGGTTGACTTTCGGCTCTTGATAATGCTGATTATTCGTGTACAAGTTTTGGTAGTAAGAGTTTTGATGCAAAGATTTACAGGACCGCATGTAATTTTGCTCCATTTTTATCAAGTCAAGTGAATTCACTATAACAAAAAAAGATCACAAAAACATACCTGAAACAGAAAGGAATTTTCTAGTGACAATCATCATAGTTTCCAGAGAAATAAATCATAGTTTAGGTTAATTACTTTTCATTTTGTTGCCCGGTGCCAAATTCTATCTATGACATTCTCTGCACAATTTTATGTTGACCAATGACGCATTAATTTTTTGTTGACTGAATTTTTTTAGCTGTGAGGCGTAAATAAAATCCAAATTTTTGTTGGTAATTGATTTTTGCATTAACAGGAGCCTTTGCTAATAGAGGTTCTGCCGTAAATGCGTTTTAGTGGCGTCCCTTATTACCCCGGGGGATGTCCCTTATTATTTTCTTTCAAGCCAACACCTGTGTGCAACTTTTATATAAGTAAAATTTTTCAATACAGCAAATATTTTCATTGTTACAGACCTCAGCAGAGGTACATTTTCGAAATCTCACTTTTCAAACTTTTTTCCAGGATTTGTTTAGAGGAAGTAAATGTATGATTTCTTGACTTACTTTATGCTATATAGACAGTCAAAATGTTGAACTTTATACCATTATTTTTAGTTTTGCAAGATCTTGATTGGTTTAGCTGCTACAACATTTCTACAAAATGTGGGACGACTGTCCCAATTTACCCTGCCCATCCCTTATTTCCTCGTTTGATGGTACTGCCTGCCATGATGCTGCTAATGTTTGCTATCAAAGGCCGCCACGTAAAATATATATAATTCTTCACCTTTATTGCTTCATTCAAAGTAATAAGACATTCATTAATAATTTGCTCATATAGATGCGTTAATTGTGACTGCAGTGAAAACTGAGAACCCACAACCTAGCAACAAGATAGAGGTTTTGAAGTGTTCATGTGCACAGTTTCACTGAAAAATATTCAGTCACATTGATCAGGAAACCTGGCTGTTAAAATGCCCAGCAGGTTTAATAGCTAGATCCCCAAAATTTCTAAGATCCAAGACTCAATTAAAATGTATTGTTTGGTGCTGTGATAATTATGCTATAAGTAGATTCCATTCCAAAGCAGTAATTATAAATGCTACCAGCTACCTGACCACATTTGTGACTCGTTGATGAAAGGTCATGTTGGTGAAGCTTTCAAACTTTAACTTGTAGCGCAAATTGCAAATATTGTGGCTTCTATCACTGTGTTGATATTTTCCTCTGTAAGTATTTATTTATCTCAATTTTAACTATGTATAACTTATCAGCCATGAATGGCAGTAGCTCATCTATTTCCCTAGAAATGGAGAATATTTACATCAAAGAAGAGCCAGCAGACAAGCAGGAGATACCAGTAATATCTGTAAAGGAGGAGGCAATATCTGTAAAAGAAGAGAGCTTTATTGTGAAAGAGGAACCAATTGAAGTTGATGGAAATGAGGTAAATAATTGGAAAAATAATTGTAAATTGTCTGTAAACCAATTAATTTCTCATATACCAGCCAAATTTATCTGCATGGAATTAATTTTTAACTTAATGTAGTGTTCTACATTTTGATGAATTTTGCTCATGAATGTGTGTGAAATAACTCTTCAATTACAGTATCAATCCTATATTTTCCATGCTCTCATTTGGTAAATGTCTATTCTTTAAATTTAATTATCAATTAATAATTAATTAACTTTTGCTATATCTCAAACTGAAGAATCATCTTATGCTATGATTTTCTTGCTTCATTTAAAATTTCAGTTAAAATGCAGCTGCATGCACTTGAGCATAGTAGATAATGGATTAATACTTTTGAATTCTGGACAAACTTAAGAATGCCAATATGGGTTTGGTTGTGTAGACCTCCCAATACACCAGGTTGAAGATATTAAAAAAAGCATTCAAAATGTGTATTTTGCAACATTAAAATTCTGTTTCAATGAAAGATTAGTGGGGTGCATTTCATACCATCACAACCAGTGGCTGGAAAATAGTTGATTGAAAAATTTTAGTGAGGTAACTATTACCAGAAGTTTTCATTGTCTATGATGGCATGTGTGTGAAGGTTATTCCCCCCAAATTGTATTGTTTGTAGTTGGTTTTAATTCTTTGATAATTTTGTTACCTCTCCTTCTGTACATTCGAAATAATTTTCTTCCAATAATTCCTTGTCTTATTTGTATTCTAAGGTTCCCTCAGCTGCTTTTGAGAGCCATCAAAATAATTATTCATCATTCATGCCATGCAAGAAGGAAGATCCTTGCAACGGTCTTGATGCAGACTGTACTGGCCAATCACTCCTGGTCATCTCAGATGTGCCGGGTGATGTGGTGAGTGCTTCTGTCCCTAGTAGATTACTTACTTCAAAATGTGAAATTATGTTTCATTTGTTGATAAGCTGTAAATGGATTTGATTTGCTTCACTTAATCCAACTTGTCTTGCATATTGAGCTCAATTTAGCACCATGCATAGAGATATTAATATCCCAAGAACATTGATGTGCTGATGTATGAACACTTTACCATGACTGATGTCAATCTCTTTTTAATTTTTGTTTCTGTATCCATTCCAGTTTTTTATTAACATTTAATATTCCATATGTTGATCCAAAATATGTGTATGGTATTTCAGAAAAAAAATGAAAAATTGCATAATGTTGTAAAACATTTACCATGCAATCAAGAATTGTTTCACATCAGCATCTTTCACAAGAAGTTTTAAGAAAGACTTTTAAGTAGATTAAATCACAAATTCAGTATTAAAACTAACATGGTACCTATGTTGTTTTTAAAATATATTTTTTCTTCAGAACCAAAATTTGTAGGACAGTACTTTTGACAAACTTTTCTTTCAAAACTATGTACATATAATTTGAAAATTCAACAACAATTTGTATTTAACTAAACTTTGTTTTGACAGAAGCCAGCTGTCTCCATATTTTATGACCATTCTGCAACTACAGAGCAGTTTGATGCTACGTTGAATATGGTTAAGAGTATCACCATAACTGAGTTGTCTGTTGCCTCATGCTCAAGATCTGATACTGCTCAGTTTGGAACAATCCAAAATCAGCTGAAAGAAGTGCCAAATAAGCAAAAGCAAAGTAAAAAACCACAAAAGCCACACTCATTTTGTCAGAAGAAAATTCACAAATTACCTAGCCACAGAATGACAGTCCATCGTAATAAAACAGAAGTATTGAAAATTAAAAATAATTCTCACAAAGAGAAGATCCGGCATTTGACTTTACAAAGGAAACTAGGCATTCTGCAGTATAACAGAAAAATGGCATTTATTGGTCATGGAAAGTTCTTCCACCAAAGGTTTTCTTCTGATAAGAGTAAACTTGTCCTCTGTAGGATGTGTAAGGGATATGTTAACAGAAAAATTATCTCTAGACACAAGTGCTCTGTTATAGTAAGCAAGCCTCAAAGAAAAATGGATAAGTCATTGTCTGCAGACTTTTCCAGGAGGATACTAAATAAAAGTAAGGATGATGAAGTAGGAGCGATGTCAAAAGCTGACAAAATTATTCTCTCCCTTGGGCTGGAGTACTTCAAAAAGATCCCTACTAGAGTAAAACAAAATTGCTCCAAGGTCCGGGCTTACATGCGAAATCTGTCGAGAATAACAATTGAGGCAAAACGCCTTGCTGAGTGTAAAGGTGAATTGTTGGAAACGGAAGGTATTTTTGACAAAACAAATCTTGGTGTCATTGAACATGCAATTAATAATTTAGCTTTAAAAGATGGAAATGTGAAGCACGGAATAAAAGCAAGTTTAGGATATGACTTTCAACGTGCAATCCATGACCGTCTAGGACTGTATGTCAAGGAAAATAATGAGACAAAGTGCATTCAGCTTCAAGAATTGCTGAAAAGCTGGAAAATTTTGTTGAAAACTATTTTCAAGAACTCTAAATCTGCACTTAGGAAGAAGCATTCTGAAGTTTTCAGTATACCAAAAAGTGTTATTGATCAAGAAATGTCACAGAAATTGCAAAATTTTGATAATGAACCAATTTCCTCAACTCAGAAGAATGGATTCTCACTGGATAAATTCAGAGAAGTTGAAGGCAAGAACACAATTTTATTTTCATGAACCACTGTCATTTGTTTTTTTTTAATTGAAAGGAATATATATAATCAAAATGTAACTTATAAGAAAGAAGTTGAATTTGTAAATGAAAGATAATATATACTAATCTTGCTAAAATGGGAAAATGTTGTGCATGTAAATGTCATTTTAATACTTTTGCATACTTATTCCTTGAGAAATGACTTGAATTCTATCAAACCTATAGCATAGTGGCAAACCAGTGATTTTTTTTTTTGGAATCGGTCCATTTTTAATTTTCTTAATAACTCAAGATTTAAACCAATATCTTCTGTATGATGATGCAGGTATCCATGATACTTTGCTGGTCTACTTATAGGACTTGAAATTGAACTTGAAAGAGAGTCTAAAAAAGTCTCTGCTTTGCTACTATGCCCAATAGATTGAAATGCAATTCCCTTTCCTAATTAACCAATCAAATAATTTTTTATCCTACCAAGGCTATGCAAAGAAGGTGGAAAAAATTCCAGACATGTCAACAACTGCTCGGAGGTAATTTTTTTGTATCCTCTATGATTTGTCTCTTCTAGAAAATTTTCAAAGCAATTGCATAATTTTGTTTATGCCCATGAGGTCAGAAAATTTTTTCTTGTTTGGTCTGCAAAATTGGAGATGAAAAATTCTGATATTGCTGTTTAGCAGTACCATCTGCTTCTCAGAATTTATTTGGTGATGAAATTTTTGCTAATGTATTCTATGAGCAGTGTACATCCTGGAATCTTATGTTCACTTTTTCAACAGATCCACTCGTTATTCTCTGAAAATGGCTGCCTTCCAAAGTCCTTCTGACTTCTCTAACTTTGAACCATCTGAGGTCAACAGCACTAATGCTAAATTTGGACCTGAATCTGAGGTCAGTGATTTTTCTTTGTTCTTTTGTTTATAAACTCAAACATATCTGTTGTGAACCATCCAGATATGCTCAAGTGATTTAATATTATGTTAATGTTAACTTGAGGTGTTTCTTTTGGTTTTGGCTCAGGTCTGAGGAGTAGGTATTTAAAACGTTTCTTATTAATGTTATGGACAATTTTTATTATGTTATTTGCACTTGTCTTCTTAATATAGTTCATTAAATTAGTTCATTCCAGTCCTGTAAACCCTATAGATTTGTAGTGTTGCTGACATTCAGTATAGAGAAGAGCAGCTTGTAACAGAAATCCTTATTTTCAATGGTTTACAGGACTTTCTCTACAATTCAACCATTGAACAATTCAACCATTCCCTACAACAATTAAAATTAATTCAAATTTGAATTCAACATTTTTAGGGACATATATACCTTCAAACACAGTGTTTAAAGTAAAACATTTTTTTTACATTTTTGTTATTGGAGCAAAAATCTAGGACTATAATTTCAGTCTGAAAATTTTGCGCTACAATAATTTCCATTGTATTGCAGAACCCAACCTTGACAACTATTAGCAACTCTCCTGCAACTACAAATCACTTAGAGGCTGCATTGAACATGGGCAACAATACCTCAAGAGTAAAAACATCTGACACATACGGCTCAGGATCTGATGCTGAAAATAGTAATAATGAGCAGTTGGGTAAGAGGGTAGTGCAAAAAGGTAAATGTGCAAGACCATGCCCATTTTGCGAAAAAATGGTTTACAAATTACCTAGGCATCTGATGAGAGTCCATCGTGATAAGCCAGAAATTTTAAAATTGAAGAGTTATTCCAATGATGAGAAGTTCCAGCATTTGACTGCACTAAGGAGACTAGGTATTTTTCAGTATAATAAAAAGATGGCTTTGGTTGGTAGTAACAACTTCTTATGTGAGCAATCTTTCACTGACACCAGTAAACTTGTTTTGTGCATTACATGCAAGGGTTTTTTCAACAGAGCATATTTCTCTAGGCACAAGTGCACTGGTGAAGTGCCCAAACCTCAAAATGTAAAGATTTTAACAAGCATGAATGGATCCCTATCTGCAGGATTTTCCAAGTCTATAGTAAACGGCATTCGGGATGACAAAATAGGCGTTGTGGCTAAAAGTGACAGAACAATTCTCTCCCTTGGACAGGAGTACTACAAAGAGCACTATGTGCATGATGAAAATATCAATTCTTGCCAAATGATCAGGTCTTACATGAGAAATTTGGCAAAAATAACCATTGAAACAAAGCGCCTTGCTGAGTCCAAATGTGAATACCTTGAAACTGAAGATATTTTCAGAAAGAACAATCTTGGTGTCATTTTGTGTGCAATAAATAATTTAGTCACCAAAGATGGCAATGTGAGCCATGGAATGAAAGCCAGCCTAAGGTATGACTTTCAACGTGCAATCCAGGACCTTTCAGGGTTGTATTTTATGTCCAATGATCAGGAAAAGTGTGCTGAGCTGACAGAATTGCAAAAATCCTGGAAAGTGCATTGGAGAACATCCTCCATGATCTCTGAGGACCCACTGAAAAAGAAGAGCTTAGGAGCTCTCAGCAGCTGCAAGAATCTCATTTCTAAGGAAACTTTACAGAAACTGCAAAATTTTGCCAATGAACAAATTCAGAAGCATCAGCAATGTGGATTTCCTCCTGAAAAATTTCTTGAGGTCAGAAATGCTGTTTTCACTTGCCTCGTGCTCCATAATGCTAAACGTGCAAATAAAATTAGTAGCTTGAAAGTCTCAGACGTTGAGGATGCCTTGAGTGGAGAACGTCTACAAGATGATGACTCTAAAAGACATTTTGTCTGTCGCATTCTGAGCAAGAAGACATCGAAATGGCTCCGTATTCTAGTCCCCATTGAACTTCAAGAATCTATTAGCTTCCTGATTAACAAGGATAAAAGGAAGATGGCCGGGATTTGCGAAGATAATTTCTTTTGCTTTCCATCACTGCACAACTCTTCCAAACATGTTAAAGGAACTAACATCCTGATCAAAATGTCTTCAATTGCTGGAACCAAGGTTACTATCTCCCAAATTCGTCGCTTCCTGTCTCCAGCTGCTGCCAATAAAGGTAACTCCAACAACAAAATCTAAGGGTGAACCATTAGGGCCATACTAAGCTGGTTAAGGGGCTGGGGAAGAAGAACCATTCAGTGGGTGCTGGCCCTATGCTGATCAAGCACTCCATTATATTTATATAGAATTCTTCTCAATATTTTTGAACTTAGATTTTTCACAGTTAATGTCTGCTCTGTATAGTACTATTTATTAGTATTCATTCATTTCAGATAAACAATACTTGGATTTTTCAACCCAGCAATACATTTTTGGTAGCCTTTACTGGAAAATAATTCAGTCCGATTTTTCAAATGTTTTCAATACTTTCTTTACTTATATTTTATTCCTTTTTCCATCATGCAATTTTATTGTTCAATATCATTTCAGAAACAGATCAGACATCTAAAATATGTAAAATATTTGTGATAAAATGTAAAAATGATGCAAATTACATAGGCAATTTTTAGTTTAAAGGCCCATGAATTTTATATACCATTAACTATGGAAAAGATGTCATTTGTTTTGTTCAAATATTGTCATTTGAATCTATTACAATCTTATTTTCAAAATAGCCTTAATTTTTTATCATCTTTGGTTACAGTTTCTTATATACTAATTGATAAAATACCTAGTTTACTACTCAGCATAAGATTCCAGGATTTGTATTTCCTTTCATGCTAGAATAGCATTTTCATTATATACAAATAACAATATTGTTTGAATATAGGTATAGGTATATAGGTGTTTGGTTAAAAATAATGCCAGTTTTATTGAGGACTTCTTTTGAGTTTCCATTTTCTCCAACATTTATGTTATGGGATATATATATATTCACTAATTCATTGTACTCATATTACTCTGTGTTAATCTGATATTTGACATATGCTCATTATTATTTTGCCTTTTATTTATTAAGCTACCTTAAGATGGATCCCTCAAAATAGTATTTTAAAACTGATTTTAAGGGGAGCGTCTACCCTAAAATTGAAAATTTCCACTTTTTCGGTTTTTATACTCATTTTAAAGCTGACATTCTGCCCTATCCAATGGTACCTCTGCCATCTCTCTACGTTGATTTATGATTTCACGACATTTCATGAAAGGGGGGCGGGTCCTAGGTACCCCCTAGGTACCTAGGTACCTCCTTTCTAGGTTTCTAGGGTACCCCCTTTTTGGCTGTTTTCTTAGAATTTCACGTTTTCTTTCATTTTTTTCAAAAAAATTACGCGAACAAAAAAGTCTTAGAATTCTGTTTTACATATATGTACCAAGTTTCAAAGTGATCCGTTTGTAAATAACCAAGATAAAATTTGGGGTAGATGCTCCCCTTAACTGGAGTTATGTTGTACTTGAATATTTTTAATTAGTTAGATTGCTTTCTCCTTTCCAAACTTCGAGGTTTATTGGTCATGGCAAGGCATTCAAAAGCATGGCAGATTGGAAAGAAGCAAGATATTTCTTATATTTATTTGAGATAGAAATTTGAGTTTGAACACAAAATAATTCCTACGCTTATGTACCTACCTAGATAATGCATTATTTTAACCAAGATTCACTAACTTCTGCATTCATTCCAATCTACAGCTTCGGAAAATGTATCTGAAGAGAGTCCAGTATCATCTAATAACAATGAAGGGTAAGTGATTAATAAAGTTAAAAAGTTCAATTTCAATTTTGCATTAATATTAGGGCCAATTTGTATTACTTTTAAAATTGCACATTTAAATTCACAGCCAAGGGTGCAATTGCATATTATGATATTGAAAATGAATGACTTCTGTATTTACTGGTAATATTTACTTTTGTTCATATTCAGGGCTCAGATTTCTGAAGCTGTTGGTGGGAACACAGATTGTTACCCTGAACCTGCAAGTCAGTAACCTTTTTTTTCCTTTATGTTAGTTTAAATGTTTATATCCATGAGATTTAAACATAACCTGCCTTTATTTATGAATGTCAGAATATATTTATGCATTTGTATATAATGCATAATTTCAATATTAAAAGTAAGTTTTTATCTGCAAAGCTACTGTATTTTAAGTCTTTTTCTTAGTTAATACTTTGAAGAGTAACTGAAATTCTTTCAAAACTTGAAGAATGGATTCCAATGCCTTATCTAACTTGGCATTTACTTAATTTTTATCCCTTAAAGGCCAGGCAAAGGAGATGAAAGAACTTCTAGAAACATCAACTGCAGGGAGGTAATTTTTAGGACCACTATAAGATTTTTATGTTATTCAAACCCAGTAAATTGAACATTTAATTTAGTTTCTCTCTATGTTGTAAATTTATTGTTGTTTAGTCTGTACAAATTCAAGATCCAATCAAAAGCCCCCTTTCAATTATAATGTTGTGGGAAGCTCCTTCTAATGAGCCTGCAAGGAAGCAGGATTTTTGGACTAGAGGTCCTGCAAACCCCTCTTTTCCTGAGATGCAAAGACATACAAAGGAAAAGTATGGAATAAAAGTAAGAGTATAATTTTCAGTGTAGAAATTGAGTAGACTGGTCGACTGCATATAGAAAAGCTCAATGACTTAATGATGTTAAAATTATTGTATTTGTCATTGAATGGAATGAGTGCACCCCTTAGGTTCATCATGTTGGTTTCTCTTGATTTTCTGACTGGGTAAAAGCTGGCAAACTATTATATGCAATTATTCAAGGTTAAGTGGAGCCCTGTGCCTTGGTTTTGGTCTCTTTCTTTTCTTTTTCTTCTACTGTACATATTTTGTTTGTTCTTGTTGTGTTGCTTTTGGATACATTATTAAATAAATACAAGGAAAAGGTTAAATAAATGGGTGGATTGGGATGGTTGTAGGGGAGGGGGAGACCATCACTAAATCCTTATTTTCTTGAACCCTTTGCAGCAAACAGCCTCAGGCCTGTAACATGTCTGATAACGCCTGTAATTAGCTTCCTGTAAAAGCATTGCCAAGTGGAGGAGTTTATTGAGATGTGTGATAGTTTAATGCTATGTATTCATGATAGGACTAAAGGATGAATTTGATTTTTGTGGTATCATGTGCTTTCTAGAATTTATTTGGGAAAAAATTTAGTTTATTGTATTTAATTAATGATGCTCATTCTGGAATCTTATATTTTCAACAGGTTTATACGAAATGCTCCAGAAATTACTGCACAACAAAGCACAACCATTTTCCCCAACCATGAATCATCGGGAGTCATCAATGAGGATAAATCTGGTCAAAAATCTGAGGTCAGCAACTTTCTTTGTTCTTTCATCAACAAACATTGGTCTAACATTAAAAGTGGAATATGCTAAAATGATTCAATGCCTCATTGATGGTAACTTGAAGTGCTTTATTTAGTGAAGTCAGAGTAATTTGTTTGTTTCCAAATACCCCTTATAATTCTATGAAAATTGTTAAAAGTGTCATCAGCACTTGTATCTTCCAGGTACAGAAAAAGCAACAATTTTTAACTGAAGAAGTTAAAAGCTTCTACTGTATAAAACTAACTGATTAACTCATTAAATCATTTCCATCATCTTATGGTGTACATTTTGGTGTTTAATTGAAGTTTGTGCATGAAATTCCTGTTTATTTTTATTGTGATTTCTATTACCTCTAAACCTTCATCATGTCGATTTGCTCCCAAGATTCAGTCAGATAGAAACACATAGAAAATGAAATATTTGATGCAAGGATATATTTACTTATTAATATATATTATATATTTATGATAGATAGCAATTATAACATATATTGATGCTTTTTTTACTTTGTCTGTATTAAAAAGAAAATAAAATAAAATGACAGTGAGAGCTCCAATTTTGGCTACCACGTTCTTATAAATTTCAACAATCTTATTTTAGTTGTGGTAATTCTTGATGTTAAATATGATACAATTGGTGATTGGTAGAGGTATCTAGCCACAAACACCTCTAGGGAAAACAAAGAAACTTTTTAGGTAAAGATTTCCAGTTACCCGGCATAGTGTCTCCCCTCAATTGGTGTAGAATCTGATTCCCACAATTGTTGTGGCAGGCTTGTTTATGTAGGCCTCCTGGCCCTGCCTGCAGTGGCCAGCAAGCTCCACCTACTCCACCTTGTGTGTCATGTGGGATGGGGAATAATATTGAAGCTCCTGTTGAGACTCTAATTGAGGCTCCAGTTGATGCGCAAAATGAGGTTCTGGATGAAGCACAAGTTGCAGCTTATGATGCACACCCGCCTGATCACCTACCGTTTTCTGCAAAATTATCTGACAGGCCTGAAGAAGCGGTGGGTGCTTGTGGTTAAAGTAGTTTGAAAATTTTACATTAGAAAATTACTAAATGGCAAAAATTATTTATAATAAATGAATGCATTTGAAAGCATGTAACATTGCTTAGTATAGCGGCTGAACTTTGAAACGATGTATCATGAAGAGGTTTATATCCCAGTGACATTGATGGGCATATTCTTCCATTGTCACAACTTTAGACTGTTCTATTACTTTCTTGCTGCTTTCCCAAATATTTGTTATTTCTATAGTTTTATTACAGTCAGGAAAATTTCAAGAAATATCAAGGTACTTTGGTTCCTGAACATTTTGGCCAAGTGGTTGAAAATTAAATGAAAGAAAGTTCAATAAAAAATTGGAGTAGATAATTTCAATATTAAGCTTCATTCCTGTAGATTGGTAGTGTTGCCAGCATCTAGTGGAAAAGAAACCAGCTTGCAACAGAAACTCATTTATTTTCAGTGTTTCAATGATCTTTATAATGTGAGGCGCTGGGGAAGCTCAAAAACAAATGAATAATAAAATAGTTGTGGTTAAAGTTTATCCTACAATAATTCCTATTGTTTTTCAGAGCCCCACCTCTACCACTATTAATGACTTGGATGCGACTACAAATAATTCAAGTGCTGCGTTGAGCTCAGTCAAGAATACTGCAAGGTCTATGTCATCTAACACCCATTGCCCAGAATCCAATGCTGATAGTAGTGATGGTGAGCAGTTAGGTAAGGGGGAAGTGTCAAACAAACTAAACCAATATAAAAGTCCTCGAAGGCCCTGTCCATTTTGTCAGAAAATGATTTACCAATTGCCTAGGCATCTGATGAAGGTGCATTGCAGTGAACCAGAAGTTTTCAAAATGAAAACTTGCTCTCAAAAAGAGAAGATACAGCATTTGACTGCACTGAGGAAACTAGGTATCTACCAGCATAATAAAAAAATGGCTTTGCTTGGTAGTGAAAACTTATTAAGTCAACAGTCTCTTTCTGCTGGAAATAAACTTGTTCTCTGCTTGACCTGCAAGGGGTTCTTTGGCAGAAAATTTTTCTTTCGACACAAGTGCATTGGTGTAGTACCCAAACCTCAAGAGGTTGCAATTTTAACTTGTATGGATGAGTCCCTTTCTGCAGAATTTTTCAAGAATATAGTAAACGACATTCGGGCCGACAAAGTAGGTCGGGTGGCTAAAAGTGACAAAATTATTTTCTCCCTTGGATTGGAGTATTACAAATGGCATTATGCACGAGAAAAAACAAATGAATCTGGCACAAAGATCAGGGTATACATGAGAAATTTATCTAAAATTATCATTGAAGCAAAGCGCATTGCTTATTCCAAAGGTGAACTTCTTGAGACTGAAGATATTTTCAAAGAAGAAAATTTTGACGTCATTGTGTGTGCAATAAATAATTTAGTTACAAACGATGGCAATGTGACACACAACATGAAAATCTTCTTAGGGTATGACTTTCAACATGCAATCCAGGATCTCCTCGCGTTGTATGCTGAAACTGGTGATAAAGCAAAGTGCACTGAGCTGCAAAAGCTACAAAAATGCTGGAAAATGCATTGGAAAACTACTTTCAAGAGCTCACAGCTTGCACTTAAAAGGAAGCAATCTGAAGCTCTCAGCAGCCCCAAGAATCTCATTACTAAAGAAACTTTACAGAAAATGCAAAATTTTGCCACTGAACAAATTCAGAAGCATCAGCAATGTGGATTTCCCCCTGAAAATTTTGTTGAGATCAGAAATGCTGTTTACTCTTGCCTCGTGCTCCATAATGCTAAATGTGCAAATAAAATCAGTAGCTTGAAAGTCTCAGATGTTGAGGATGTCTTGAGTGGAGAAAGTCTACAAGATGATGACTCTAAAAGACATTTTGTCTGTCGCATTCTGGGCAAGAAGACATCAAATTTGATCAGTATTCTAGTCCCCATTGAACTCCAAGAATCTATTAGCTTCCTGATCAACAAGGATAAAAGAAAGATGGCCGGGATTTGCGAAGATAATTTCTTTTGCTTTCCATCACTGCACAACTCTTCCAAACATGTTCAAGGAACTAACATCCTGATCAAAATGTCTTCAATTGCTGGAACCAAGGTTACTATCTCCCAAATTCATCGCTTCCTGTCTCCAGCAGCTGCTAATAAAGGTAACTCCAACAACAAAATCTCTAGGGGCTGCTTAAGGGGCTGGGGGAAGAACCATCCAGTGGGTGCTGGCCCTATGCTGATTTGATGAAGCATTTTATGATAAATATTTAGTATTGCTTATAGTTTATTCAAAATTTTATTTGTAACATTATGTTGTTGGTTCAAATTGTGTTATTAGTAGACAGGGTTCGCATTGGTCGTGGAAAACCTGGAAAATGATGGAATTTGATTTTTCATTTTCCAGGCCTGGAAAGTGATTGGATTTCATTTCAGGTTATGGAAAGTTGTGGAATTCGCCAATAAAAGAAGAAAAAGATGAAGTGTTTTTCTGTGCTGCGTGTGTTTATTGTTTGTGCAGTCTCTTGTTTCCTGCGTTCTGATTGGTTCTCCAATCATGTGAGCTCAGTCACCAAGCTCAGTTGCATTCAACAACTTTTTTATGTGCAGTGGCAGCATTCCATCTTCAGCATGCAATTTCTACATCACCATGTCTGGAAAGTGTAAATTTCATGACTTATGGTTAAGAATACAAGCTTATCATGACTGGCATGCTTGCCATCAAAAGCTTGAAGGTATGGCGATATGTACATTGTGCTTGAAAGACTTTGATGTGTCAAATATGTGGGAAACAGCTTTTAAGAGCTATGCCACCTTTAAAAAGCCATGAAGAGCTATGCATTTACACGTTTGCTATTTATCAAATGTAGGAGATGATAGAATATGCACAGTTAGTCTTTCAGTCATGCTAAACCTGTCAGATATGAGTCTTGGAAGATTATACTGATGGTCATGGAAAAGTCATGGAATTTTTTTCTAAATACCAGTGCGAACCCTGAGTAGATGAATATTCATTTCGGAAAGACAACACTTAGATTTTCAAGCCATGAAAAATGTATGTACCTGTAATTGTCATTGCTGACAAATAATTCAGTCACATTTTTCAATTGTTTTCATTGTCTCTGTGTTTTCATCTATATGCTTCAGTGCACCACGCAATTTTATTGGAGAATCTCATTTAGGAATATTTCTGATATCTAAGAGATGTTAAAACTTGGTGAAGAAATGTAAAAATGTTTTTATTACATTGAAGATTTATGTTTTTTAGGGCTCACGAGTTTGCTATCCTGTTCTATGTGAATGAAATTACTTTTATTTCTTTCAAATGATTAATTGTTAATTACATAAAATGGCTTCACTTCTAATCATGAGGTTTTAGGTTACTTGTCTTAACTTACTTTGAAAATAAATTTATTCAAAGGACCTTCATTTGTTACTTTTTTTTGGCATTCAATTTTCTTATTAAACTGCTTTTTCGCCATGAGTCAAATGCCCTCCATATTTTGTTTAACACTAAAATAATATTTTCAATACATAAAAGTATGCAATGTTGTCTAGAAATGTTTTGTTGCCTTGAAGTATCATCATTAGTCCAGTTTGCACTAATTTATTTCTTTTTCACTCAAATCTGTCTGACATTTAATCTGATATGTCTATATGTGTGAGGTCCACATAGTTATTATAAATTTTTTTTCAATGTATCACTACATGGATCCTTCAAATCTGTAGGATTTTTAGACTGAGTTTACCTGGAATTTAATTTGATAGTTTTGAATTTTAGTGATTATTCTTGCATTTCCAAACATGAAGGTCCATTGGTATGTGAAGCTCCATACTCAGCTTATGAAGATTTAGGATATTTCTTTTGCTCATGGAAACAAGCAATAGTTCTTATCTTTATGCAGAAGATGCAATATTTCAATATAAGATTCACTAACATTTGCATTTAATCCAATCAACAGCTTTTGAAAATGCCTGTGAAGAGAGCCAAGGATCATCTAAAAACACTGGCGGGTAATTGATTATTTAAGCTGCAAGTTCAATTTAAATTCGGTATCTTTGTAAAGGCTATATACCTATAATTCATTATTTATAAAATTGCCTATTTGGATTTATATCAAGTGTTTCAATCACATATGATATTGCTAATGAATGACTTTGATATTTAATGGCAAGCTTTACTTTGTTTTCATATTCAGGTGCCTGATTTCAGAAGCAGTTGCCGAGAACTCCGATCCTTGCCCTGAACCTGAAAGTCAGTAACTATTGTTAATTTTTTTCCGTAGTTGCAATCTTACCATGAAATTTAAATGTTGCCTGCCTATAAAAATGAAGTGGAATTTGTGAATGTCTGAACATATGTATTATCCTTATACATGAGCAAGTTTGTACCAGTTAATGCCATTTTAAGGCATTTGCATGCTTTGCCTCAGGAAATGACATATTCTATCAGACTGAAAGACTAGTATGAAATCCCTATTTATAACTCATTACCTATGGCATTTTTATTATCCTCTCAAGGCCATACAATGGAGATGGAAGAAATTCCAGAGCCAACATCAGCTGCCAGGAGGTATTTTTTGCATCCCCCATGATTTTGATATTAAAGCATTAAATTTTGTGATTAATTTTGTTAACCCCAATGAAGTTGGAAAACTTTAATTTGATCTGCCACAGCTGTAAATATAAATTTAATGAAAGAGATTGATATTGCCAAGTGAAATAGCAAATTGAGATGGGTGATAATTTGACTTGACATTTTTATGGTAGAATAAGAGGGTGGGTTTGATTTTAGCTGTACCTACTATCTGATTTTTTAAATTTATTTTGTGATGAATTTAGTTTACTGCATTCAATTAACAGGGCACATATTCTGCAATATTATGTTTTCTATATATTGACACATATATATATATATATAATGTCCTGAACATTAATGCCCTACAAAGTTCTTCCATCGTCCCCAGCCACGAATCATCAGGAGTCTTCAGTGAAGATGAATCCGGGCCAAAATCTGAGGTCAGCAACCTTCTTTGTTATTTTATTTACAAATAGTAGCCTATCTTATCTAGTGAAATTAAGGTAATTATGTAAATTTGAATCAATTATGCCTAAATAATTAATACATTATGAATGGTGAATAGAATATAATAAATATAGTATTTATATACTATGTTCTAAATACAGCTATTATGAATTCTATTGATACCTTTGTATTATATCAATGTTAAAAACAGAGAAATAATGCACAGCAAGAGCATCAATTTTGTGGCCTTGGTTGGTACTTTTTTTCAATTTCCCATCTTGTTATTCTCCTTTGTGATAATTTATATATACTTATGACATGATTTGTGAAAGGCAGAGGAATAATAACCTAGCCTTTCACACCTAAAGGCTACATGGGGAGCTTTGGGGTGGAGATTTCCCTTGTACAGTAACGCCCTACAAAAGGGGTTAAGGATCTGGGGCCATACTTTCAAAAAAGTTAAGAGATTGTAAGTTCATTAGCCAATCATTGACAGCCTTTCAAGCAAAATCCACCAATCATTGACAAAGAAATAGAACGTAAGGACTTACGTTCACTTAGCGAGTTTTGAAAGTATGGCCCCTGATGTCAACAATTGTTGTGGCAGGCTTCTTTGCATTGGCCTCAAGGCCTCGACTGTGGTGGCCAGCAAGCCTCACCTCCCTCACCTTGTGTACTGCATCAAATGGAGACTCAAGTTGAGGCTCAAGCTGAGATTTCAGTTGAGGCTCAAGCTGAGACTTTAGTTGAGGCTCAAGCTGAGATTTCAGTTGGAGCTCAAGCTGAGATTTCAGTTGAAGCTCAAGCTGAGACTCGAGTTGAGGCTCAAGCTGAGACTTCAGTTGAGGCTCAAGCTGAGATTTCAGTTGACGAAGCTGAGATTTCAGTTGAGCGACAGATTCAGGCTCCAGTTGAGCAAGTCAAGGCTCCTAATGCTCCTGCGCCTCCTCGACCAATCTCCTCCAAATATACTGGCCCAGTAGAAGTGGTGAGTACTTGTGGGTTAAGTATGAAATAACTCTGTCAGAATTATTTTTGATGGAATGCCTCTAATGGCATAGAGAAGTGCCTCTCAAATTGGCTCAATTGTGACACTATGTATGGAAATTCTTCTTATCCTATGAAATTTTTTATCCTTATTCCAATTCTTATCCTAAATTCTTTTCTTAGTTAAATTGGTAGGCAGACTTGGATGGTTCTTGATCCTTTTTTTTTTTTGTGACATTCCAACTACTTGTTATTTCTAAGATTTTATTTATGAGCACTGCAAGTAATAGAAAGGCTTTGGTCTTGGAACATCATCCCATATTGTCATGTGGTTGAGAACCATATGAAAATTTCCCATTAAAAAAATATGAGCTAGATCATTTCATTCCTAAGCTCCATCCCCATAGATTGTTAGTATTGTCAGCTTTCAGTGTAAAAGTTGAATGTTCAAATTCAGTGTTGATGGCATCAAGCAGGAATTTCTATTTAATTTTTGTCTCAATTGGGCTCTAATATAATTTTGTGTAGGGCTATAGTTGAAGCTAAAGTTCGTCATACAACAATTTATTTTGGATTTCAGAACCCAGCCTCGATCACTGACAATGACTCTTGTGCAACTACAAATCAGTCCAGTGCTGCATTGAGCCCCGTCAAAAATATCTCAAAAATGGAGCCATCTGACACTCATTGCTCAGGATCTGATACTGAACCAGAAGTTTCAAAAATGGCTTTGCTTAGTACTGAAGACTTCCTAAGTAAACAAGCTTCTTCTGATGGAAGTAAACCTGCTCTCTGCACGACCTGCAAGAGGTTCTTTAGCAGAAAATCTTTATCTATACACGAGTGCACTGGTGAAGTGCAGCAACCTCAAAACATTGCAATTTTAACTAGTACCGATGATTCACTGTCTACAGAATTTTCCGAGAATATAGTAAATAAAATTCGGGATGATGAAGTTGGCGTGGTGGCTAAGAGTGACGAATTAATTTTCACCCTTGGATTGGAATATTACAAATGGCACTATGCGCAAGAAACAGCAAATGAATCTGGCACAAAGATCAGGTTATACATGAGAAATTTATCTAAAGTTATCATGGAAGCAAAGCGCATTGCTTATTCCAAAGGTGAACATCTTGAGACTGAAGATATTTTCAAAGAAGAAAATTTTGACGTCATTGTGTGTGCAATAAATAATTTAGTTACAAAAGATGGCAATGTGACACACAGCATGAAAATCTTCTTTGGGTATGACTTTCAACATGCAATCCAGGATCTTCTTGGGTTGTATGTTGAAGCTGGTGATAAAGCAAAGTGCACTGAGTTGCAAAAGCTACAAAAATGCTGGAAAATGCATTGGAAAACTACTTTCAAGAGCTCACAGCTTGCACTTAAAAGGAAGCGATCTGAAGCTCTCAGCAGCCCCAAGAATCTCATTACTAAAGAAACTTTACAGAAACTGCAAAATTTTTCCAATGAACAAATTCAGAAGCATCAGCAATGTGGATTTCCACCTGAAAATTTTGTTGAGGTCAGAAATGCTGTTTACACTTGCCTTGTGCTCCATAATGCTAATCATGCAAATAAAATCAGTAGCTTGAAAGTCTCAGATGTTGAGGATGCCTTGAGTGGAGAAAGTCTACAAGATGATGACTCTAGAAGACATTTTGTCTGTCGCATTCTGGGAAAGGAGACATCAAATTCGATCAGTATTCTAGTCCCCGTTGAACTCCAAGAATCTATTAGCTTCCTGATCAACAAGGATAAAAGGAAGATGGCTGGGATTTGCGGAGATAATGTATTTTGCTTTCCGTCACTGCACAACTCTTGCAAACATGTTCAAGATAATAACATCCTGACAATAATGTCTTCTAATGCGGGAACCAAGGTTAATATCACCCAAATTCGTCACGTCCTGTCTCCAGCTACTGAAGCAGAAGATAACACTAACAATGAAACCTTAAGGCTGCGCAACAAGAGGCAACCTGAACCGGATAATGAACAGGAGTTTGACGACCTCTCCAGTGATCGCTGGTCCAACACAGATCAGGCGCTACTTGGTAAGTATATAAAATTTACTCCTATTTATTTCACCTATCTTGTTTATCTGTTTTGATGTTGCATTTATTTTTCATCATTATTATAGATCAATGGTTATTTATTCAAGAAAGATTTTTTTCCTGTCCTGCAATGCAAATGGTCGCAGATAATTGTAATCGCATTTTATGTAAATTTCTTTCATTTCTGAGCGCTTTAAATTTGTAAATTTCCAGATTACTTCAACTTTTTGTCAACCAACTGATTTAGAACAGACTGTTTTTGTTTCCCTTAAAATAATTGATCACTGTGATTGCCATTTTCTACTTATTCAACCGATGTTCCACCGCATCTTTTATTATTCTTGTAATTTTCACCTATAACAACTTGGTGATTTGCAATGCAGAAATCGCCGTCGAATTTTTATCTCTGTTGAAATAGTTGTTTCTTTATATTTCCAGATGATAAAGTTCAGTTTCAAAGTTTTTGTTGCATAGCATTGTCAGAGATTAAGATACCACCACTTTTTTTATTCGCTGTTATTGCATAGTATTTGTGCTTCATTCATTCTCCTCTGCTCAGTTGAATGAAGCACATGCTCAGTCTGCTCTGCTCTCCTCTGCTCATTCGTTGCTCAGTTTTTTTTCACATTCTGCATCATTAGCTGATGCATTTTACATCATTTTACATGGTTGGTAGCTAAATTAACCGGTATCACAATTACTGTTACGTTTCCAACGTACTATATTTAAATTAAACATGTTTCTCCCCAACAGACCAAAGCAACATCTCTGGAGCCAACATCTCTGTAAGCATACTAAGTTAACAGCTTTTTAACGTCATTTTATTTGAGACGAATACAAGATTATTTGTACTCATTTTTTTTTTAAGACAGTGACCCGTTCAATATGATGTAGTTTGATCTGCATTAGAAAAACGTTGCATTTGCATTATGTTCTCAGAAAAATTATACTTGAATCTTTCTTGAAATTTTTAGAACCTGTTGTAGTTCGTCTATTTGTAACTAGCTAATTCCATTTTGTGTTCCAGGAGACATCCCCGACAACTCCTTGCACTGCACGTGGTGAGTTATTCATCCATTTTGTTAGTTAATGTATATTTTTACTGTACTTCATTCAACTGTTGGTCGATTAGTGATGCAATCTGCTCAACTGATTGTATCTCAACCCCCCCGTGCCATCTCGTCCTTGTCGTGGGGGGGGGCTTGCGTGTCTCGATGAGACCCGAGGCTGTACGGCCTCAGATGCAATCATGGCCGGGTGGCTCGGGTGGAGAGTCCAGACTAACAGAGATGGCAAAACGCCCTTATCGGAAACGGCCTGGCTCTCAAATGGACACGCGATGACCCTTCTTTGGATTGATACATGAAGTCGGAGCGGACCCACGCTCCATGAGCAGGGAATCTACCGCCCAGCCCCTGCGCCTAAAATGGATCAGGCTATAAGCCTTGAAGACGGAAGAGACCAGACATCTTTGACGTAGCTGAAGACCTCACCTCCGGCGCGAAATAGATTCGCTATCTGAAGCGCTAGTAAATCTTTTACTACTACTACTACTGTATCTCAACATATAATGTTTCAATTTTAATTTTTGCAGGTCTTCGTTACAAGAAGCGGTTCAAGCGAGATGAATAATGAGGTTATTTCCATCTGTAAATACGGATGCAGGTGATTTCTTATTTGTAAGTCCAGTTTTTTTTTATTTTTTCCCCACCGACTATAATATTGTAAAGTATCAATGCCTAACGCAGTCGAGTTAAAGATCCTGTCGCTCTGAGGAGAGCCTGGCTCTCAGTGATGTATAAGTTCCAAACTAAGTCGATGATTGTGTCATTTGATAGCGAACCCGCCTCCGAACCCAGTTAATGTAGTATCCGTATGAAATATATGTATCTGTCAGAAATACTGTTCTAATAATTAGGTAGCTTAATATTACCAGGGATAATTCTCAACCTTTGTTCGTAAACCGACGTTTTAAGTAAACAAGTCCTACATATCATAATGTGTGTGTATTTAATAAAAAGCTTCGCCAAAATAGATAAATGATGCGGAAGAAGCGTTACAGACGGGGGGAAAGAAGGCATCAATCATGGCTGCGCACCACAATCATCTACGCGTACTGAGCCGTCCGACCGCATAGAAGTTGATGGAGAAGGCAATGCCCTTCATTTTATTGATAAGTCGTGGGCTATGAAATGGAAATATAAGTTTATAAATTCATTTAGTAAACGGTACAACAGTGCCCTCGCGAGTGTGAGAGGTCTCTTAGCTGCAAATATTTTTTGGTTAACATTTTCATCACAATTGTTTTGTTTTCGCCAACAGTAGTACATAGCTACACACAAACGTCATTCATTTTATTGATAAGTTGTAGGTTGTGAAACGGAATTATAAGTTTATAAATTCATTTAGTAAACGGTACAACAGTGCCCTCATGAGTGTGAGAGGTCTCTTAGCTGCAATTTTTTTTTTTTGTTAGAAATTTCATCACAATTGTTTTGTTTTCGTTAACGGAAATTCATACCTACTAACATTTAGTACTAACATACACACCTAGTTAATGCTTGAATTTAGTTGTTACTATCACTAGCTTGAGGTGGTCGTTGTTGCTTTCTGCCAGTCATGTGCCGTTGCTTATGACCTTATGATGAGTTCGGGACTTCCTAGTCCCCGGTCACGCTGATGCGCCGCCTTCGTCGTCCTCCGTCTCCGAGTCGTCGCTAGGCAGCACAATAGACAATGCTCGGTCCACTCCTGCATGGCCGCGACGCTCGTATAGGATTTTGGTCGGAGTAGCGTGGTATCTTGTCGGTTGTTATTTTTTGTATCTTAAAAGAGCAAGTATTCATTCAAGCTTCCTTTGTGACGTTCTTGTTTAATGCAGTTATGCGGAATTATTTTTACTGGAAAAACACATATTATTTTTACTGTAAAACCACGAATTATTTCTACTTGAAAATCACGAGTTATTTTTACTGTAAAACCACGAATTATTTTTACTGGAAAACACGTGTTATTTTTACTGTATAACCATGAATTATTTTTACTGGAAAAACACGCTTGTTTTATACCCATCTCTTTTATTTTCCCATATGAGAGTCATGCCACTTCAACGAAAATTAGTATTAATTTGTTTTTATCGAAACGAATTTTGAGTGCGCTACGTCAGCACATTACTGGAGTGGTAAAACTATTGTGCTACAACATTTAAAGAGTATGACATTATTTGATGCACTGCGCAACGCCCGCAATTGTTAACTTCTAGCGCGAGAAGAGAAATAGAGAAGAAGTTGTATTGTGTTAGGATTACATCCTTGGATGCAGGCACGTATGCTGGTGTATAGAAAAACGTGATGTGTATCACAACTCGCTGGCCTATGGGATAAAATGTAGTCATGTTAGCATGCCGAGTAGCTTGCTGCTATTCTTACCCTTGTGATACGTCTGCCTATGTTGCATGAACTGCTCGACATGTAGCTGGGTCAGATGTAAATATTGCGACACACAATTAATGAATATCAAGGTACGGAAAAATTTGGTGTCCCGGAGCTCCGGCGTTACCACGCACCACTAGGACTGAACGTCTTGGCAAAAAGCTGAGTTGCAAAATGGACTTTCCAGCTACTCGAATAGAGCAGTAGCATCGATCCCGAAACTCGTCTGGCTTGTAAAAATGTATGTACACGAAGAGGAAAGAGCAACCCTGCAGAAATGTCAAAGATTTGTCGTCCTATACGGCCTCTTCGGAGAAAATCAGGCACCATTTAAAGCTGGATGTGAAACGGGGACTCGGGAACTGAACTTAACTGTCGGAACCCAAAACTGGGACGTTTGGCTACGATAGCTTGACGCATGCGAACGTGGCGAATATCAAACTCTCTATCGTCAATGCCATTTAAGACGCCTCAGTACTGGCATTTCAAGTTTCGTTGACCACACGGCGTTTCCAAGCTCTAGGTGCGGGCGCAAGAGAGAGACAAACAATAGCTTCATCGTTTCTGAATCAATTCACACTTGAAAACGTCTGAGCAGTCCAAGCATTTTTTGGCGTTATCAAATTGCGCTTCAATATATTAAGAAAATTTCAATTCATTTTCGGCATAAATTCTCAAATCTTTTCCCCTGTCGACCGTAGGGCCCCATCCCGTCAAACTACCTTGACCAGGAAATTTTGGTATGCAGAGAAGTGATTGAGAAATTATCAACTGCATTTGTGTGGTCCATTGGTGCAAATTTGAAATTTCATGATTTGATCTCAACGGAACCACGAAAAACGCTATCCCGAGAAAAAGGCTCATAATTAGTATAGTATAGTATCTTCGGCATTGAAGAATAGGCCTGTCGCCGATTCTTGTACTTTTCTTAGCTAGACTGGCCTTGATCAAATCTTTTCAACGGACGGTAGAGTTAAAATCGCTTCTAGATTTCAGTTCAGTTAATCTTGATTTCGCTAGATTAACAATGCATTGACGAAAAACGCAAGGCAGGATATTATTGCACGTCAAGAATATTGGAGCTTAAACACGGAACTTACAGATAAATTATGTTGATCTGAAAGAAGGGCAATTTTTTGTCTAACCTTCCACTCCCAATTCTGCCATGGCATTTTCAGGAAATATCCAAACACGACAAGTATCCTAGATAAGTTCTAGGTTTGTGGTACCAGGCTTCAAAGAAACCCACACGCAAACATAACTTTGACAAATATATTTAAATGTGGAGTTTAGAGTGAAAAATTTGTGTGCTCTTGTCATTCGCTAATTGGAAAAAAATTCGTCTCAAATAATTACCAGAATTGTTAGACTATGTAATTTAACGGCGCAAAGTGCTTCCTAAAATTATCGTCACCTTACTTGTATACTTTTCACGTCTGAAATTAAGATTCATGCTTGCCATTGAAGTAGTGACTGCCCACGGGTAATTTTATAACCTTTCCCTATATGAAATTCAAAAGTGTGTTGTTTGCTTACGAGAATCGTTTTACAATGACTTTGGATATCCGATGTTTTTTGTTATAGTTAGTGCCTCCTATAACTTATTACTCGAACAAATCCTATCGACAATTTACTAGTGTTTAACTCCGCGTCCGAGTAATTTATTTGGCATGCGCAGAAAAAGCGTCGTTGCCATGGTTACAAGGACTCTAGGTCAGCAGCAGCGACCTCCACCAGCCCTGGCAGTGTCAGCAAATCCTTCAATTGACGACCAGACTACATGGAACTTGTCACTTTACTATCTCATTCTCAACTGGAATACAGTTTAATGATAACTATTTGTACTAACTACAGTGCGACATATTAGGCAAAGCTTCCATTTGACCAACATATAGAGCGACGATTAAACCCATAAGTTTCTTGTAAATTGAGTTGAAATAAAAAGTGTGGGAACGCGTGCGGAGGTAACATCAGACCAACAGCTAGCCAATTTAATTGGCTGTAAATGCGGTAATTTGAACGTCAACTTAATTGACCTCGGGCGCCGCACTGCAGTGTTTGAGGAAACAGTCCGCCACGTTTTTGCTAACTTTTGGCTTCAGTCTACGGTTTGCAGGTGAGACTTGAGGGGCAAAAGCCTCGGTAGCGCTGATGCGATGAAGACCTGGCAAAGTCTATTGCGGTCTTCTTCAAGTCCACACCAACTGCTCAAGTCCATTCGTGTTCATGATATCATTCAGTGGCGATAATCCAGCCGCTTTAATATTATTGAAATATTGCTTTCAAAAGTGCATAAAGTCGATTTGCCACCGCTCTATATGTCTTTAAAAATTTAAAAATTATTTGTCATTTTTTCGTATCTAAGTAGCTTCCTGAAAGATCACGAGCGATGAAGCCGAAAATTACTTTCGGTGGGTATCTTCTTGCATTCGCTGTTTAATAGTCTCATTGACTTATTTAACTACTACAATTTAACGCATTCTCTCCTATAGGTATTTGTAATTCTTTGAAACATAGAGCTGGTAACATTTTCCATGTACAGTTAGTATTTTGCATCACACATTCACACTTCGGAGTTTTATCTAAACCCTTTTTCCCTTTCGAATAAATTATATCCTTGTGACCCTTGTAAAATTAGTCTTTGTGTGCAAAATATCATTGTTTGTAATATCTCGTGTTTATTGCGTATGCCTCAGAAGTTGTGGGAGGCGCCATGCGGAACCTACGCGGGCTCATGAATATGGTAAAGGTAAGTTCCGACCACGTCGCTTGAGCCGTGAACAGACAAGCTTCCGGCGTCCTTTGACGTAAGCAGTATGCGTACTGATTATCATATAAAAACTAACATGTTATGAATTAATGCATTTTAAACCTAAAACTAATGTACCAATTCTAAAAATCTCTTAAAACAATTATTAAATCATGTTTAGTGAAGGTGCTGAACCTTTCTCTAAAATTTACGCTGAATAATAAAAATATTGGCTGTTTTGAATTCCTGGAAATATAGTATAGAATTACTGCAGAGTAAAGCGTGGCCAAGGTAATTCTTGAAGATTTTAAATCTACATGAAGTGAAACAAAGAAAGACTGTAGAGTATATTTACTTCCACTTCACAATGAAATAAAACTTAATAGACGATTAAAAAATTGAAACGAGTCCGCGATGATTGAGACGAGATTATACGAGTCCACAAGGTTGTTATTTCTGTATACGCACATGTGATTCAAAATCATAACTTGAACTTGATTTGCATAACTTGATTTATATAAGGAATGTAGAAAAAAACATCCGAGTTTTTTTATCTTGTCAAAAATTAAATTCCTTAGGTATTTACTTACTTCATATTAATCAATTATTGTACCTAAAAACATCTCCTTGAGCGTCTTTTTGTGTAGAGTAGTTCATGGCAAAACTGATTATTAAGAATTGATTATTTTTAACGACGGGTTTCGTAACATCCATTCGTAAATGCCATTTGATTTATTAGCCACATTTTCAGTTAAGTCACAATACTTCTTTTGATGAAAGATGGTTGTTATGTTCTTCGAGAATGATTGAAAATATATTTTCTAGAACGATAAGTAAGCCAATCATTTAATTTATCCACAGTGTCGAGATCAGCTGAGCAACCTAACAAACGCTTCATAAGCTAACAGCAAGTAAAACAAACTTTAAACCAATTAAAATTCTGTAATTTAATTTACGAAGCTAAAACCCTCTAAACCATCCCTAAATAATATTGAGATTCAAGTTGAGTACTGATACAATTTTTGACTCGGACATAGCTTTGTGCACACACTCATTGAATGAGACTTTGAACAAGTAACGATGTACTTTTTCCACCTGGGTGGGTCATTTCAACCCAGTTTGGTCCGAAAAAAGGATGTATCAGTGCTACTCGCAGAAAGTGCCATGCATTTTTTTAGTGAAGCATGTGAATGCAAGAGCCGCGGTCAGCAAGAGCACCTACATCGTCCTGCTCACTTCCATGCATGTTGCACTCACCGAGCGGCAATTCCCTGTGTACATATTTCCCGCTATCAACATTGTTGGCTTTCGTTACTACATCAATTGAAAGTTTCACAGCAAAAACAAGTCTAGATTTTGAAATTGATTCTGCGTGATATTTCCATGAAGAATGCGAATAAGTGCCGTTATAACAATTTTATTTAGTCTTCGTTGATTAAAACACTCAGATTTTCATAAGCTTGGATCAATCCACAGCTGTATCCCGTTTGTTTAGAAGCAATTCATTGTATTGATTATCGCCGAACTACGACTGTGACAAATAAGAAAATATCCGAGGTCATTCCTTAATTCAAAAACATGTCGTAAATTTCACGATCTCGGGTTTTAAGTCATTATTTATTTGACTCATCATAACGCACGATGCGTGGTAAGCTCAATGGTATCGGCTCGGACACAAAAATAAGAGTTTTAATTTAGCACCCACTTCACGTCACTTGTCATATGACAATTCTTTAGCACGAGTAGAGGACACTAATTCCAACAAGGCAATTAATTGATGCTAGAGAAAATGATAACATCAGCAACTGGTGGCATGGCTTGGCAAGAACGTCAGCTCTCCAGTGAAGAAGATGAGCTCAGCGAAGAGGTCAGTGCACGAAAGTTGTACCTCGGTTAAAAATAGTCAAAAATCAAAGTTATTATATATATTGACATATAAAATTAAAGTTTCCCATTCTCATATAATAATTTATATTATTTATTAACATGTACCCAGCTCCAAGTTTGAGTAAGAAAATTTTGGACAGAAAATTTAAAATTAACCCTTATATTTATTTAGTTTGTAGAGTAGAAATATTTTCTGTAAAATCTGAACCACAATTTGATATTGTAAGATATATGTACGCACGCTTGTCTAAACTCGCGCTTTAACCAGCATGATTGTAGTTAGAATAAATATGTAACTACTAGCATTGCCTGGCAATTTTTTTAAGCAATTTTTATCTATTTTTCAGCTTCAAAATATTTTTTGGAATAATTTTTACGCACCCAATCCTAGCGGCAATACCAGAGATTCACAACTGAAATACTTATGTTAAACCATCAATATATTTGAAGATTAATAACTAGTTTTTTTATTGAGGAATTCTGTGAGTATGTTTAGTCATAAACTTTTCGAATTTCTGTATGCTTCGAATTATGAATACAAATGACGAAAATTCTATTCATTTTCTGATTTTTTTAAGAAATTTGCATTGCACAATATTTCCAATTTGATTTATTAGTTGCGAAGTTGACACTAATTTTATTTTATTTCTAGCATGCCTCTTACAATGCAAATCAAGTTAGACCTAACTCGCCGGAGAAACATTTACGGAGCCTTTTGGAGTCAAATTCATTTTTCTACGTATGGACATGCAAATTTTTTCCATGAGAATCTCCCACCGAATCGGTACAAACTCATTCTGTTTTCGTAAGATTAACTTTAATTTTCCGTGCTCATCTGATACGCGTACAAATGTTACAAGTTCAAAGACCACCCCACTCACCTATGCACGCCACCGCACCCTTCTGCTCAGAATACGCATCCTACTAACAGACATACCCAGCGCATCAACACACAAAAAATGTCTAAACTGCCATAAAAAACACCAAACACTTGCCGCTAACTACCAACAGGAAACAAACCAACATTCACAAACAAGAGAACGCACTTGACCAAAAAACGAAGAAAACACAACAAACAAACGCTGAATAGCAAAACATGTAATTCAACAGGCCAACATCACTCAATACAGCCTCACTCTGACCAATACAACTCAGTTCAAACTGACTGCAAAAATATTAGAAGCTCGCAAAAGCCTCACATCGCCAGCTTAGCACGACAGAAAGAATGCGGTTCAATTCGCTCTGAGTCACTTACAGCCAACTACGACATCGACGCTACCTTCACCGACCGTGACTCAGACAAATTTTTAACTTCTACATCCATGACTAGAATGAAACAAACACGGATAGCAATAACTGGAAGCTTAAAAACGGAATTCATAGATGACGGCGACATGAGATGGTCCTCACTGAACCTTACGGAACCGCAGATCGACGAAGGATACCCCAAATCGAGCCTCCAGCCCCGGCAACCCAGACCCATGACGACAACCGAGACCGAATGAAAAGAATAATAAGAGGCGAACCGTACAAAGAATAAATGATTTTAATCCCAGGACACGAAGAACTCCTACCCGTTAGAGTTAGGCTATTCAGAATCTGCAAGGACCCAAACCCTGTCCCCGAAATACCTCACCACAGCTGGTACATGTATGAACTGGGAAGAAAGACTACGTACTGAAACTCTCGATGAAAGACTTCGACTCATCTCAAAGAATTGCCTATTTGAGACGAGACAAAATTAAATTCACCACAGACTGCAAAGCATTTGCAGACGACGCTATACAAATAACAGCCGGACGATACCTATACAATTACGCAGCAAAACAGCTACAACACTCCATGCAGCCTAGAAATACATTAGAAAATAAATGGCTCATGGCTCATAAAGACCAACACAGCTAAGTTCAAAATCATCCCCCTCAAGAGGCGAAAAACATCTGACAAGCATTCCCTGTCATTCCCCACCCAACCCAAACCAAACCCATAAACACCAACAACAAAGTTATGCACAAAGAGTCTATCTTCATCTCTTACTGTCTTTTCCATTTCTCTTTTCTCCATCTGTGCCACCTCTTGCTTTTTCATCATTTTCCTAGTGGCACCGCACCACGCTTCTGTTTGCCACTGAGTTTTCCGACTAGCAGGACTCGCGGCGAGAGCCGACAGTCGAGATCAGGCTGAACACAGTGTCGCCTGAGGTGGCGAACTTGGTACACTACGACTTCACCAGCAGAAAGTACCTACCATGCGAGGATCTGACGCTCGACCTCCTCACCCTGCCTTCAAAAATCATGCTCAAGGAGGACCTCCTCGCCATCCAAGAGGAGAGAGCTTTAGGTGATGGGCTTCTGTTTTTCATAAGATTACGGCATCCCTTAACGCTTTCTTATATTTAATTACTAAGTACAACTTTAATAATGTCACTTGTTCCTGCCTTATGCTAGTTCACGTGAAACTACCCGATACAGACTTAGGATGTATTTAATATACTCAATATACAGAGGTGGGCAGTAGCGCGCTACATGTAGCGGCCGCTACTAGCGGCCGCTACATTTTCAGTAGCGGTAGCGGTAGCGACTCTACATTTAAGGCAATGTAGCGGTAGCGGTAGCGCCCGCTACATATTTAAGTAGCGATACGAGGTTTTGCCGCTACAGCGCTACCGCTACATTTATAGATAAAGCCTTTAGATTTTACTTAAGGGGACCGGCTACCCTCCAACAAAACTTTTTTGTTTACAGACGGATCGTTTTGAAACTTGGTACACATATGTAAAACAGAAATCTAAGACCTTTTTGTTCCTGTCTCTTATACACATCTAGATGTGTATAAGAGACAGCGGTAGCGCTCGCTACAATCTAGTGGATGTAGCGGTAGCGGTAGCGCCCGCTACATTTAGAGCATGTAGCGGTAGCGGTAGCGGCGCTACATTTCAAAGTAGCGCTGCCCAGCTCTGTCAATATATACCGGTATTTCATACCTATAGTTCAAAGGTATAACCAAATTAAAATGGGTTTGATACGATTGCTATGGAGCAGAATTCCATTTTCAAAACAAATTAATTTACTACGAGGAAAATTTATTTCAAATATATTTGCACTCTATTAACATATTTTGAGTGTACAGAGTAGTATTTTAAAAAAATTCTGAAGTTTCAATTTCTGTTCAAAATCGGCGAGCAGTGCAGAACACAACCGCTGCCCACGCGGGCCATGCAGAAGGAGGAGATGACGAAAAGCTGAGCGTCGACGACCTGGAGGGCTGCGAGGACGTTATTTCCAAGGAGGAGCTCCGCAAGCTTGACTCGCAGCCTAACCCCTTCAACTTCAGTGAGAGAGTCAGCCAGACTCTCAGAAACATCGTCACGGTGAGCTTTGTAAACGATTTTTTTTTTTAAATTTCCTGAGAGTAGGTAAGTCAGAATCTCAGAAACAACTTCGCGGATTGTTTTGCTAACGATTTTTTCGAATTCACAGAGAGTAGGTCAAGTAGACTCTCAGAAACATCGTGACGGTGACTTTTACGAACGATTTTTTGGATGATTTAAAATAGTGGGTCAGCTAGATCTTCAGAAATGTCGTCACGACAATCTTGACGAAGAATTTTTTTCAATTTCAGTGATTATGTCAGCTAGAATCTGAGAAACATCGTGACAGTTTTACGAACACTATTTTTCGATTTCCTGGAGAGAGTCAGCCAGACTCCCGGAAACATTTAACGTGACGTCATTTTTTTCGGGAGCCTACTAAATTGAAATGAATAATATAAGGGATGTGAAATTTATTAAAACGCTCTCTCCGCCAGGATGAAATGGTACAGACCGATCCACCCCCCAGCACCACGTTCTGTGTTAACGTTGGTCCAAGCGACATCTATGACGCCTACCGGAAAGACTACGCGAAAAAACAAGCTTTGGCTCGGCTACTTGAAGAGGAGAGAGAAAAAGCCAAAGACAAATCTTCGTCCAAGAAAAAGGTAAAATAGCTTTGAAAAAGTTCCAGATCGGTCTTAACATTAGGATGGGTAAACAAAAGTCGAGAATAAGCATTTCGTATAATTCTTTTTAAAAATATTCGCATAAAGTATAATAATCACTGTAAACTGGCTCTTACGATGATTCTTATCGATGAAATTGAAATGAAACATGGAATCATAACTATGAAATACTTGTCTATTACTTCGGTCAACTTTACCGAACTTATCTGTAACTTTATCTGTATTCCACCTTTTAGTTTACTAGGGACTTTCAACACCGCATAATTCTCTATGCTCACTTGTTGAAATATTTATATATGGTGTCATAAATAATTAATTAATTATTACACCTCATGCATGCTTGGAATTTTTGTTTAGTACAGAAATTTGATGAACATTTATACGCACACAGAAAGAACCACAGCCGCCAGCACCTTCGGGTTCTGAGGTTGCCCTGCTTGCTCCTGTAGCCCCTCTACAGGAGTCCCTCTTTCCCAACCTCTCCCCGGCACAACTGAAGCGGCTCGCTTTCACGGCTAAAATACTCGAGCGGATGGTGAACCAGAACACATATGATGAAATAGCGCAGGGTGAGTGAATTTTTTTTTATCACAAGCTCGGAAGCGAAGGCCAACCAGAAAACTCACGAAGTATAACAGAGGAAATAAAATTTTCATAGTGCAAAACATGGAACATTTGAAACAGCGCATGCTGAGCAAAGTGTTAAAATGTAAATGCAGGGGGCAGTGATGAATCAGAAGACTCTCGAAGATATGGATAATTTTGTATAAAGTTGCATTGCAGCAAATACATGGGTGAGAGAATATCATAACATTTGAAAATATGATGAGACTTAGTTATAATTATACGTAATATTGGGAAGGTGCTATTATTAAGTCAACTTACATCAAATTTTGAACGGAGTTTATATTTTCTTAGAGATTCTTAAGAATTTTCCCAATGAAACAATTTTTAGTTGGTAAAATATCATTATACATCGATTTTATTGATGTCTACATGTTCCTTTATATAAATTATTAGGTATAACGCACCGCAGATTTTCAATTCTGGGAGGACCAGAGCGACGATTTCCGCGGTCGTGAGGGGACCCTGCTGCCGCTGTGGCGCTTCTCAAGCTCCGCCCTGACGCTCGTGCCGGGCTACTGGAGCGGCTGGGGCGGCCGTAACGCGACCCTCACGGAGGGCGTCAGGGGCCTGCTCGTCACCGACCTCTCCTTCAGCCCCGTCTTCAGCGATCTCTTCGCCGCCTCATTCTCCTCAGGTCACGAGACTTATAATCTCTTGATGTTAGCTGGTGATCACTTGATTTTAACTTGCAATTTCTTGACAATAACTTACAATCTCTTATGCTGACTTGCAATCATTTGATAATAACTTACACTTTCTTCGCAATAACTTCCGATTGTTTAATGTTACATGCAAGAATTGATGATAACTTGCACTTTCGTGACATTAAGTTACAATCTCTTGATGGCAAGCTATGAAGAGAAATTGAAGAGAAGTTACAATATTTTATAGATAACTAACTGTCCCTTAATTATAACGGGCAATATTCATATGATATTCATAATCTCTTGATGATAGTTTGTAATTATTGATTATAACTTACAATCTTCTGATGATGACGTCCGATCCCTTGTTGGCAATTTGGAATCTCAGTAATTTGAAATAATTTATAATCATTTTATAATAAGTAACAAACCTTTAGCTTATTTTTGACTGCCTGATTATAGCTTAATATCATTCATTGATGCCTTGATATCCATTGATAATTGCTTGAAATCTATAACTGACAGTTACAAATCTTTCCAGAATTTATTTCAATTGATACCCTATATACCATCTCTCGATTATGATTTGAAAATTCTTAATGAACACAAAATTTGTCCTATAAAGCGCATTTATTTGTGCGTCTCAATTAAATAAGTCACTGCGGACAGTGAAAAAATAAAATAATAATAATTTTTTGAATATACTAAATTGAATAATAATAACGCAGCAGAGACGCTGGGCACCGAGGGTGCGGGCGCCGTGTGCGTATACAGCCTCAAGAATCCCAGCCATCCTGAGCGCCTCCTGCTACACTCCTGCGGGGTGACCTGCGTCCAGTTCCATCCTACCGTGAGTGTCTTCCTCCAGCACTCGTGCGGGATCATTAATAATCCAAAAAATATATATACATAATATCATGCCTAATTTTGATATATTGTAAGAGACTATAAGTTCATAGTGACGATGCATTGTTATAACTATGCGTCGTCCTCGAAAATTCTTATTGACCAGCTAAATTTGTATTTGAAAACCGCCATTGCCGAGTAACAGATTATTGCGATCGTTTATGGTTATAGAATTTCTAGAGCATCATGCAGCAGACCACCATGATTAATGATGATGCTCTTAATTTGGGCACTTTTAACATTGAAGCCACGGCCAATGACATGCCATATGCGGCTTAAGCTACGGTAAATACCATGCATTATGTGGTTGATGTCACTTCAAATGTAGTGCAATATGTGGTTGAAGCTACGCAAATAACTTGCCATATGTGGCTGAAGCCACGGCAAATGCCATGCCATATGTGGCCAGATCGCCAGCGTGCTGGTGGCGGGACTGTGCAGAGGCGATGTCGTCATCTATGACGTCACCAGCAGCCAGGCCATTGCCGAGGTCTCGTCAAGCGCTTGCAGCGGGAAACACCTGCTCGCCGTCACGCAAGTGAGTAAAAAAACTGCGTCACGCAAGTGAGTAAAAAAACTGCGTCACGCAAGTGAGTCAAAAAACTGCCCTCCATGCCAATAACGTTGAAACAACATTGATTGCGAGTTGATCACCTTGAAACAATATTTTATCAACGTATTTTCAGCTTCAGATGCCTGGAAGGTGGTAATTATTCATATAGTTATTATTTTATGCAAGTTTGATTGAAGACCAGAGCATGCTTTTTATTTACAATCTTCTTGTTCGTCTTTTCAATGAGTCGAACCAAATTTCTAGCTGGAGCCGGGAGATCGAAAAGCAGGTTTCCGAATGACATTTTAATAGATAGCGACGTTTCGAAAATACAATTTTCATTATCAAGTTTTCAAATGTTGTAAAACCTTCACCAGCTTGATAATGAAAAATGTATTTTCGAAACGTCGCTATCTATTAAAATGTCATTCGGAAACCTGCTTTTCGATCTCCCGGCTCCAGCTAGAAATTTGGTTCGACTCATTGAAAAGACGAACAAGAAGATTGTAAACAAAAGCATGCTCTGGTCTTCAATCAAACTTGCATAAAAGAGAAGCTTTTGCCGAACTACACCAATAGTTATTATTGTATATGAATACTTTATACCTTTAGGCAAGACTATTTACTAACATATTAATCGAAAGATTTTTTAGATCAGACATGAATGTGCATTAAAAAGGGCTATTAGTTCGTATTGAAGCATTTTTTGGTCTTAGTACAGCAGGTTTAATCCGTTTTTTTGTGTAACGAGAAAGTTATGGATAAAAAAAAGGTGTGCACAGCAAGAAATTTTTATAATGCATGTTTATTTAGCCGAAAGTTACGCGATTATAAGTTTCACACTAAAATTTGCATTATGACTTTTAGAAAGCAGAATGGTTGATTCGGTCACCAATTAACTGAAAACTTAATTTCAAAGTTGAAATTTTACTTTGTTGAACTATTTTCGTAGGCAATTAATAGTGGAAATTTATGACTAAATATCTCACTTAATATGGCGAAGTAATGAAAAAACGTGTCCATTAGCAATTTCTAACAGAAATTATTCTAAGCGTTGTGCAAATGTTTTAATTTTACGTATGACAAATTTCTTGTAATGGTTTTTGCTATTAAATTTTTATTCAGGCTTAAAGAACTTTTAATATTAATTTATTTTGGCCGTATATGTTTCATACTAACTTTTAATTTAATTATGTTTATTCGTTGGGAAGTATCACCCCGATGTTCCGGGTTTACATTACAAAATTGAATAGTTGAAATTAAATTTAACAGAAAATCATTTGATCAATTTTATTATATTTTCTGGAGCTATGGTTGATAAAAAACACTTTAATCAAGAATAATTTTGTGGGGGCCCAAATGTCCGTACAAAAATCTTAGAGAGATAGCAAACTTTCCAGAATTTTTTCCTTTCGCCACATTGTCCGCGTGCTACTCGTTAATGTCAGGAAATAAAATGTAATTGAAAGCCTATATAGAGTGCACACTAACCGACCGCTGTAATCCGAGTAGCAGCAAACATTTTTGCTTTTGCTAGAAGCTCTGTCGTCTGAACACAAGCGTTTACATTTTCAAATTAAGCGTGACACGACAAATTCAGGGTTTATTAGCCAGGCTTACCGGTTCATATTGTATGGTGCACATGAGATGTTAACTAATTTCGTTCCAGCGGCAGTTTTTCAGTCTTGTCGAGACGGCAGTTAGTGCAGTGGATCATTTGTTGAAAAAATTATTTTGTGTGGCTTTAGAATGAAAAATCAACCGTTAATGAGTCAAAAGCTCTTAAGGGAATATGAAACTTTAAATTTAACTTACATTCTTTTCATCTTACAATATTCTAGGAGCGCAATCAGCATTTAAGATACACTAGATGATCACACTCATTTTGGAGGGGTCATATGGCCTAAATTTTGGCAATCATTCTCCACGTAGCTTCTATGCGCCCTTCTTCACGACTGGGCAAAAAATCAGCGATTTTTGGACAGAATGTAATATTTCTCTGAGTGCATCTTCAGTTGATGCGACTCAGCGACAAGCTCTTGCCACTCTTGAGTGGCAAACTCCCAGAGACTTTATTGAGGCTTAACTCTCAGAGACTTGGCCACTTTACCACCCAGAGTGGCAAAAAGGCATCGCTATTTGGACAGAGTTTCATTCATTTGTGTGAGTGCAGGTTCAGTGGATGAGGTTCAGCGGTAAGCTTAGCCTCCTGTCAGCGTCTCAGGACGGACGGGTGACTCAGTGGCACGTCAGTGGGAACGTCCTCTCCCCCACTGACCTGCTGACCTTCCCGGGGCTCTCCGCCCCCCAAGCCGGACCAGCACCCAACGGGATGTCCCCCCACGACCTCGACGGTAACAAGAAAAGCGCTACTCCGTCCGACGGAACTTCGTCACGGATCTCGGGGAAATCTTCGTTCGTGGCACCCGACCGCGTACAGCTCGAAGGTGATGGGAACAATGCATAAATAAAAAAAACAATGCATAAATAATCCTCCAATTTTCCGTGGACGAGACATTGTCATACATGATTATCGTAATAATTTATTATTATATTGATATAACGGCGATATGTAAGAGTGAATTTTTCCACTTTGGTTGCCCACATCCATTGAAGCTCAAGGGTTGACCGATATTATGCCACGGGCTTTGGTTGTACTACAAAATATTTTTCACACAGCAAAAAGTGCAACTAGAATGACAGCAAATGACAGCATATTTTACGCAGATATAGTATATTGTCGTTCGCAAAGCAATCAACAACAAAATATTCTCTTCGCCGGATATAAATGAGGAATGCGGTGTAAAATAATTTATATCCGGCGGTGTAAAAATAATTCAGATCTCGCTCAATATAAAGTTTTATTTTATATATCAGTGAGGTTTTACAATTTCTGTTTTCCAACAGCCCCGTGAAGTCGACAGTTTTAAATGGCGAAGAAGTAAAAAAATTTCCATTTCTTGCTGACCTCGAAACTATCCTGTGCAATAGACAGTTTAAATGGCGAACAAATTAACAAATTTCCATTTATTTATGACCTCAAGGCACGGCCACTCACATTGCCCTGAAGCCCGACGACGACACGACTCTCCTGGTGGGGGCGACGACGGGCGCTGTGTTCCAGTGCTCGACGGCGTCCACGGTGCACTCCCTGGTGCGCTACAGCGCCCACACGGCACCCCTCACAGCCCTCGCCTGGAACTGCTACAACTACAACGTCTTCCTGACCACCTCAATGGACGGCACGCTCAAAATATGGCTCCAGCAACACCCGTGAGACATTGTTTGCCTTTATTTTCTCGAGTATTTCGTACCCTCGAATCGATTTTTGACGACATCGATGTATGTAACTTTAAAAATTATATTACTGCTTGTGACTCCATTATTCAGCACAAGAGTTGATTTGTGGAGTAGATATAGCGTAACAGTGCGTTACGCTATACCGTTACGCTATACCGTTACGCTGTACTGTTACGCTCCGTTACGCTATACTGTTACGCTATACTGTTACGTTCCGTTACGCTATACCGTTACTCCGTTACGCTGTACTGTTACGCTCCGTTACGCTATACCGTTACGCTGTACTGTTACGTTCCGTTACGCTATACTGTTACGCTCCGCGTTACGCATAGCGTATCAGTATCTGTATGGAACCTCAATAGTTTAAAAGCATAGAAAACGTCAAGTAAATTCACCATGTCGTCATTGAAAACATTTATGAGACCAGCTCCATCACCGGTTTAAAAATCTGAACTGATTCATCATCCTACTGTATTTTCTTGTATTGATGGAGCTGATATCCGAAACGTTTTTAATGAATACTGTACATAATGATTTTACTTGACATATTCTTTGCTTTTAAATTCTTAGTGAACTCACGGTTTAAGTAAACTGATATACGTATTTGATTAGAGCTGTAAGCAATCTATGCATTCATTTGGTAACAAGTCGTTATACTATAATGCACAGGACACCCCTGGTGGTGATGTCCCTGGGAGGAGCCGTGGCGTCGGCCGCATGGGCGCCGTACAGCAGCACGGTGGTCGTGGCCGTGACGGACGAAGGCAAGATCTTCGTGTACGATCTTTTCGTGCGTCGCTGCCGGCCGCTCTGCGTGCAAGCTCTTCCCCAGAAGAAGAGGCTCCTCGTGTCCAGCCTCGCCATGAGTCCCTACCACCCCGTCCTGCTCGTCGCCGGGGAAAGGTGCGTCTACAAATTTTGGTTCCTTCTTGCTCAAATTTTCCATTTTTTCGTCCTCTATCTGGACCCACAAGACATCTGATATTGAATCGATAGTGAATTAAACGTTGTTTCGTTGAACCAATGTTAATGAAACGTTGTTTCAATATCATTTTCCTGCTGGCGAGAGACCTCCGACAATATATGAACCAATGTCGTTGGACAATCATGTGTACAAATGGCCGGTGGAAGGTCACTACTTCATCGAAAAATTTTCAGGATATCAAATTCATTCACTAGGTAAACAGTAATATATAGCATCTAGAAAAGATTGTATATAATATTTTTTCTTTTTCAGAGGTCATCTTGTATCCTTCAAGCTGTCACCCAATCTACGCCGTCCTCACAAGGAGGCCAAAGGAGCAGACGACCAAAGAATTAGGGAAATAGAAGTCATGAAAATAGACAGAATCATCGCCACGAACCGCGGGTAATCTTTCCTTTGTATATTGACGCGTGTGGCATGAAATTGTGGTAAGATATTGATTAGTAGTCCTTAATTTCAAGTATGTTGTTGCATTTTTCGCAATTCCTTTAAGGAATCGGAAAGAATGCCTTGTAGCATGAAATTTTAGGAAGATATCGATGACCCGGCTGGACTGTGTTTCAAATCACGGCTCTTGAGCCGTTATCTTCGTTATACATTGTATAGTTGCAGAAAAATTCGGAAGTGGCATTCACAAATCGATCTTGTCAAGCATTTATTCATTACGACAATCATTTACCAGCTATGTTTAACATTTTTTGGGGATATTTTTCGTTTTTGTTTTATTTGTTTTCAATTCACTAAATCATATTGACGGTGCAATTTATTCCTATAGTTATACTGAATGAATTCATAGCGTTTCATTGTAAATCAAAATAATTCTTCCATTACATCTCGCTGGTGAATTAGAAGGCACGAACAGATTTGGATCCTTCAGAAAACTTGATAAAGTTAAAAAATTATGCAGATCAGCACGAAATGAATAATATCATCAACATGTTTGAATTAAAGTGACAGTTATACATTAAACTGTCCTCAATGATGACATACAGTATATTAAATTTCGCTCCTTGATTGTTAATTCAACTTTTTTTCGTCTTGATCACGATGGCCTCGACTGCTAATCAAGAAGTAATTATTATTTATGAATGTGTAAATGATACACTTGAGATTTTTATAAAAGATTTGATAACAGCAATAACATTATTTATTCAGTGCCTTAAAGCTATATAAAGCACATAGACCAAGCAGCCTTGTACTGCGCCCAAAAGAGGCGGGCTTCGTGTCAGGAAAAATCAACACAACTTTGCTCAAAATTCAACAAGAAGAGAAAATTGACCAGCAAAATAAAGTCGAGGTGTACACGAGACGAGTGAGACGCTCACGCCACAATACCAGAGCAAAGCACGCCAATGAACCATCAACATGCGGGAAAACAATGTATTTCCTTATAAATAAAGCACGAAGTGTGGCATGTGTTGGCGCGATCGATGTGATTTCGAAGAAAATTGGAGACTGTACCAAAATACGTGGAAATGAAGTGGACTAAACAATCCGCTCTCTGGCTACGACAATATTTTGTTATTCCAATGATTTTGCTTCAAGTTCACAAAACATTTGCCATGCTAATTTATCGTAAATCTAATAAAACATTATTGCAACCTCGTATTGCGAAACAAAACTGATGTTGTGAAAAGTCTTCCTAACCTTTTAAGTGATGGTCCAGAATGAATCTGGTTAGTTCAGCGGGTATAATTAAGTATTAAGTGATGTAATTGATTAAGTAATTAATTAGGTAATGGTCTAGGATTAATTTGGTTAGTTCAGCGCGTACAATTAAGAATTAAATGATCAAGTAATTGATTAAGTAATTAATTAAGTGACGGTCTAGAATGAATTTGGTTAGTTCAGCGGGTACAGCGTTGGACCGTAGATAATCCTTACCACTGACTCAGGAATGGAAGGACATAGAAGGATACTAGCAACGATGACACTCGAATTAACGCTGATGCAACGAACATAACACGCTGAAGTTTCGAACATAATTACCCCTAAAATGACGAGGTCATTAATTTAAATTCTGTCTGAACACATAACATTGCAACACACCATCTCGCTTTGTTAATAAGATTGGATCAGAGTGAAATGAAAAAGTATTATCTATAAAAAAATTAAAATAAAAAGTGTGTCTTTACAGCAAGGGCAAGATAGGGAAAACAAAAACCCTATAAGGGATCACGAGCTCATGCCTACATCACTAGAGCCGACTTACGTCATACTTATTAATTTTCGTGCATATAAACAACGTTAGGATTAATAGACATTTAACGATGCCATATATGATAATATAGCTTCAAGTATATTCTTTTCTTTTATCACGTCGCACTAATGCTATTTAAACCAACAAAACTAAATCACTCTTGAGGAATTTAAACTTTTTATTGCTTTTAATTAGCATGATTGACTTATGTAAATTTAATTTTTTGACGCTATTCGGCAATGGCGATGTATAGCGCGGGCGTCGCTCTGACAAGGCGCGAATAGTTAATGCTGACCAAGGCTTGACAGCTCACGGACAAGGCAGCACCAGCGCTCCAACACTGCGATTTGACAAGACAAAGACAAATACAAGTTCACACAGCAAGTCAAAAATTGCTAAGAGGAAGTAATCGTGATTAATAATCAGCGGATTACTGTGTAGAAATTTAAGTAAAATGATTGTTTTTCTCTCATAAGGCCAAATAAACGAAACTCACATTGTTGTAACGGCAATTTGGTGCTGTAATTAAAATCCTGGCCATAATAACTAGCTAATACGTAACAAAAACATTGGCATATACGAAAATTATGAAGTGAAATGAACACAAGGCTAAACAGATAAAGAATTCAAAGTAGTATCTTTGAATTTGTTCCTTGCTCTTGAGTAACTGGCTTGCTTGGAACGCTTGTTAATTGTAATGTGTGATCAAATTATTCGTATCGTAGCACTGCTCTATCAAACACCCTATGTCGTCGCAAAGCATGCTAACACGCTCTAATTTACAACTATGCAATATTTATAATGCTAGATTAATCAAGACACTTAACTGAAAGAGCAGACAGTTTGAAATAAATCGAATTGAAACCAAAACGATTTAATTTTTATTTATAAAACCATCAGACGTGAGCTTCACTATAGCATATGACACAAATGACTTTACGAACATTAGGAGACATAGTCATATATTACACCATGCACAAGGTGATCAATCTATCACGAATCTAACAATGTTTACACTAATCAATGGAGGGAATAACTAAAGTATTAATAATTTAAATAAATATTATAATGAAAACCTAGTTGATATTCGTGAAAATGGTGGTATTTTGGAGTATACGATGACTGCATGATGCCGTGCACACGGTAGCGAGGAATGATGACACACATGATGGTGGAGACACTTGGCTACAATCATTATTAATCATTATTTAATGACAAGACAGTCAAGTTGATCGAGGCGTAGATGACGTGACGTTAAAAACTCCAGAACACAGACATGGAAAGTGGACAGTCGGAACTCGTACGAAATCAGCGCTGGACATCTTCTGTACACAACTATTGAGAAATTTGTGTGTTAATAAATTTTTGGTTCCTGAAATTGCAGAATTTCCCATTCATGATACGCGACTCCAAGCCAAAGAATGAATAAATTTTGTACCTTTATGGAATTGCCTCTCACGAATATCAAATTTCCAACAAATATTTTCACAGCATCAGTTAACGAGTTGATTATACAGACAAGATGTTTTACATTGATATACAGAGTTAAAATAAACAACTTTCGCTGAATCAACAGCTGCGGTAAAGCGACCAAATTTGAATATGAAAGAAAATTTCTACGCCAGTAACCACTTTCCACGCGAGTGTTCCGAGTTAACAGTGACGAAGGAACAGACCTCAACACATGATGGGAACTCACCATTGACCGTGAACAGATCACAATACAATTGAGGCTCACTATGCATTACCAATACTGGCGGGTCACAAAATACTGTTGATGAGTAGTATTGATGTTACAAATACTGTCAACAGATTCTCAGTATTGGTCAACAGGCTCGCAACACAACGGAAGGGTGATGTGCAACTGTGGGCATAAGTTGTGGCTACAATACTATTGTGTGTAAGAATACTTCTCATTTATTAATGAAAACAATCACAATACTAAAGCGTACCATTACTGTTAGACTTTAGAAGGATGCACTAGCATCCATATGGGCACCCTACCGCATTAAATGCTGTTGCATATACGATGGTAACGCACGCAGTGCTGTTGCATGCAATAGTAACGGCTGTAATACTGTTACGTACAATGCAATGCCCACGATACCAGCGATCCATATGGTATCGCAGACACGCTGACAACTGGAGCCCACGATACCAGCGATCCATGGTATCGTAGACACACTGGGAGCTGGAGCCCACGATACCAGCGATCCATGGTATCGCAGACACGCTGACAACTGGAGCCCACGATACCAGCGATCCATGGTATCGTAGACACACTGGGAGCTGGAGCCTACGATACCAGCGATCCATGGTATCGTAGACACACTGGGAGCTGGTGCCCACGATACCAGCGATCCATGGTATCGCAGACACACTGGGAGCTGGTGCCCACGATACCAGCGATCCATGGTATCGCAGACACGCTGACAACTGGAGCCCACGATACCAGCGATCCATGGTATCGTAGACACACTGGCAGCTGGAGCCCACGATACCAGCGATCCATGGTATCGTAGACACACTGGGAGCTGGTGCCCACGATACCAGCGATCCATGGTATCGCAGACGCACTGGGAGCTGGAGCCCACACTATCAGGGAATCCTGCCCGAAAACCTTGCAACAATTGGCAAATATTATGTTATTTTAGTCCATACAAACATCCTTAATGACGACCTTATTTTGTATGGCAACATTTCAAGTGATTATAAGGTCGTTGTTATCTTCTCTGCCGCCAAACTCTTCGACGATGCTTTTTTTGTCAGGTTTGTTTTATCTATATAAAACATACCGAGTTATGTTACACAATACTTTCATATTTGTTAAACTTGTGACTGCATAGTTATCAAGTACAGAGCAAGATTGTGGCAGCATCTTATTTCATAGCAAAAGCTTTCAACACATTTTTTCTGTCTAATTGAAAATGGTTCATCATTACTTGTTTAGCAGAAGAATGCCGAACGGGATAAGTTTAAAATCGTTCGATTTCATTCAAATGTCCTCTTAATCCATTAGAAATTATAGCTGAGAAAATAATGATTTACGCGATAAACAACTTTTAGCGGTCCAACGAATTTTGAATGTGAAAAATGCACAGTTACCTCTCCGCTGCGTGTCTAATGAGAAGTAGAAAATCTAATGTGCACTCAGATTTTTTTAACCCAGAAAAAGAATATTAAAAAACAATTTCCTAAAGATCTTTATTTCCAGAACAAAAACAAAGATAACGAGACTCGTAAATTTCGTGTAGTGATCAAAAAAACTTCATGGCGTGGCATTCGAGTGCTAAAAGGTGTGGAAAACAAGTCACCACGCACAGACAAGCCAACACGTACACACGCACATAGACATCGACAGAAGAACAAGTCTAGAACGTGTTTATTACAAGACAACACGAATAGGCGGAGGACTCGTGAGCAACAATTGAGAACGACAGAGAAGGGTGATGGCTGAACGCTATGTTTTTCACCATGAGTCAGCGGAATATCCGTCTGTCAGAAATCAATTAATGAAGATCAGCAGTGTATTATAGATTTCTTTGAAATCGTTATCAAAATTATACATTGATAAGGCAACGTGTCGCTCTTTCATGGCAAACCGACTCGAGTGCGGAGTTCGGGAGTATATACGAAGATTCCATTCACCTGCCGTAATTAAATGCCATTTTTAAACGGGGTACCAACACATTTTGGATCTGACAGGCTTATGAAAATTTCTCCTGATACATTCTGAGCGATAAAGCCTCATTTTGCCGAGACTTTTTAGACAAAATTTAAGCGACGACCAAGAAAACATCGCCGCGTTAGATCCCTGCGCATCATGTTAGCCTGACGACAAAGGCGGCGCATCAGCGTAACTATGGACGAGGGCGTCTTAAGCTTGACATGAAGACATGATGTTAATTATTGTGACCGAACACAGATCATCATTTTGATTATCCCATATCAAGGCTTCGTCTACACGTTGTAAGTTATTGTAATGAATCATTAATAATTTCTTTAACTTCCTGCTGACGGCCGTCATGCTGCAATGCAAGGTTATTATAATATTGCACAGCTGCTGATAACTTACAACATCATCATCGCTACAGCGTCCGTTACTTTGCACTGCGAAGCTCTGGAGTTGGAATACATGATATGCGCTTCTCTACTTCTACTATGCATTGTATGAAAGCTCAGGGGACATTGCAACGGCTTGCTTTTAATTGACACACGAGTTAAGTAAGTTTACCTTAACGAGGCAGTTTAGAATCGCAGTTGAATGTACACAATCAAACATCGGTTAATGATTCTAAAATCAGTAAATATTTGATTTGGGCTGGAAAAATTACAACTATCCAGTGTTCGACTGGCCAGTAATTAAACAGACGAATGAGCTTGATTAATGTATTATTTGGGCATAATAGAATTTTCGGTTCCCATAATATCATCAAAGTTTATTTTTCTTTACGTAGAATGTCCTTTCAAAACTGCTGCAGCCCTGAAAAAGATTATGCAGGCAAGTAATCTACTGATTGAAAGATCTTCAAGAAGATAATAGCAATTATTTTATAATGAAAACTTTTAAAAAGACAATGCAGCTAGATCATTTATAGATAGCTTATCGAACGACATAGAGAACATTCGAGAGCCTCGAGATCAATGGCATCTCCAATTCCTTGCAAGAACCATTAAGCTAATCAGTGATTAAGATTCAGGTCAATGCCAGTTGAACATTTGCAAAGGCCGAGACTGGTTAACAATGAGCTGTCAAAGAAAACCAAAAGATAATATGCAAAGACTACTAACGATACCTTTCTTAGGCATTCAGCGTAGCAAGACCCCGGCTGTCATACAGAAGACTGACTTTACAACAGCAAGCTACGAGTGTTGAAGAAACATGCAGAGGAAGTTCAGAGAGAGTCCAGGTAGCACCGCATAAATTCTTCGCTAAGGCTTGAGAACTGGGCAAGAATGTTTTAACATGCGACGAGTATGTGGCAAAAGTTGCAAATGCAGAAAATAAAACCAGAAGAGATAGCACCGCGAAGCAACAATCAGACTCAAGAGACCAAACAATGGATACGCACAGATGAGGACAAACGTACATGTAGGAAAGTTGATTATTCCACGCGAGCAGTAAGATGAACTGAAAGCTAAAAACTCTTTATTGTTCAAAGATTTAAAAAAATATTCTACTGGTTGTGATTTTCTTAAGCTTTAATGTGAGCAAAAACATTTCGGCCGAAAAATTGAAATTGAAATGGTGAGAGCTGAAAAACGAGATTACAACGAGTCGTTAGAATTCAATCAAATATTAAAACTCTGGACCCGCCTCTGGACAAACAGATTTCAAGTTCGACGAAGTAAATCTAGCGCTATAAAATATCTTAAGTATAAATGATTGCATTGAAGCACGCTTTGTTAGTTATGCACCAGCTCCGCAATAGAAGCGAATGTTTTGTGAGACAAACTAGTCACTTAACGAAGGTTATTAGAAAGTTAGGTGATTCAGTAGCATAATTACGAACTGATGCCTGATTTCTCTTCACATTGAGAAGATATATGAAAATTCCGCAAACATTCTCAACCCAGTGATTAAGATGAGTCAATGGAAGCTAATACAAATTATTAACAATATAAAACTAGTAAATTTCTAATCTTTTACTGTCAACACAACCATATTGAATTAAGCGCACATTACAAATTAACAAGTACTGGAACTAAAATAATCCGTAATCATAAATTAATAAAAACAACAATTTAATTTCCATGAATTAGCCTAGTGACTAAAAAGTGTTGCAAGAACCTTGACAAGCCAAGTTCAAGACGGTTGAAAAATAGAGAACCCTCGCCAGGCCGTGGATATTATCCATTAAACTGATAAATGCAATGATTGAAAGAAATGAAGATACCATCTGATACGGCACTAGCAGAGGGCTTGGAAATGGCGACAAGCAACAGCCAGGAAAACTAAACTGAATTTCTTAGGTTAACTCTCAGTTAACAATAATGTGGTTACTTGTACATCAAGAGATCATGATTAGTGTACACTAGAGTAGAATCAGTGCGCACTAGTGTAGGATCAGTGCGCACTAGTGCATGTAGGATCAGTGCGCACAAGTGTAGGATCAGTGCGCACTAGTGTAGGATCAGTGCGCACTAGTGTAGGATCAGTGTGCACTAGTGTAAGATCAGTACTATTGACCATTTCTTGCATGACTGATTTATCAATACAGGCAAATCAAAGTTTGAATTTGAGGCCCAAGTTTAGATTTAAGTTATTTTCTTGTGGCCACATAATCATGAAGAGTTTGTGAGTTAATCGCTACGTGCACTATAAGCTTCTCGATGGTAAAGCCTGGCTAGCAGAACATGACTCAGCGAATGTACAGTAATGCAAACTGGCTCATAATTATATCTTTGGTAGAAGACTTAATAATAGGTTCTTAATGGTGTACTACTTATGCATATTGCAGACTTGAGCAACAAAATATGGAAATGCAAATTCACATGTACATAAATTCTTATCACAAAGTCAACCTACTCAAATGACTTTGGTTTCATCAATTTAATAAATGTTTCCAATTAAAATTTCGAAATTTGAATAAATCATGAAACATTTTGATGAGATCAGGATAACCAAGTAGTAGAATCGCACACAAAGTGATGGGTACATTAAGAAGGAAATGGTTCGTGACAGGGAGTTCGTCACAACACAGAATTTATTGGCATAAGCCAAAAAATATTTGCAGCATCGATCGTATCTTCGCACCCTGGTGAACTTTTTTTAATTCACACATTTTAAAAGAAATAACTTTCACTAGATCCGTATTTTTAGGAACTATTTTAACAGAATGAACAATAAATACCGAAAGACTCGCGATACACAAATAAGAAATCGTTTGCTTTCAACAATAAGGTTCTAAAAATTTGCAAGATACGTAAAAATTTTCAACTCGTTAATTTATCTTCAACTCGTAAATTGAATTTCAATTCGTGAATTGAATTACAATCCGTGAATTGGATTTCAACTCGTGAATTGCAATTGAATTGAAATTAGCATGAAATTCAATGGAGCTCTGAAAAGAAAAATTTCGCGACACATTAAGGCCTATTTAACAAGCGTTTGGCGATGGAATGATTACTTCATGCATACGAAGCGTCAGATTTTCGACGAAAAATGCCTCATAGTCCTCAAGTGAATTTGCAGCATAATTAATGGCAGATTCTGCAATGAACGAATCCTCTATGCATCAGAGTTCAGATGAGGCTTGAATAACTGCTTACTCGACTGAAACCTTGGACGCCTTATCTCCTCGACTAGAGATGATAACTTATGGGTAACTCAGTTATATTCACGAAAAGGACATGAATTTTTGGGATGCTTTGGTGTGAAATCCGGAGTATTAGTATGGAGCAATGCATGTGAAGTAATTAGAATTAATCAATTTAAGTAATTTGTGGAAGGACGAACTTTGTGAGTTTATTAAATGCTAAAAAGCAATTATTTAAATTTATTAAGGAATTTAAGTGTGCACACAGTGTGATTTGATAAGGTTTCATAAAAGGCGAATAGGAGCTCATGATAACAAATTCTAAAATTTAGAGAATTAAATAGAATTATTGGGATTTACATATGAACGAGCGGCTAACTTTACGCACATTTTACCCTAGGGTTCTTTAAATTCCATTTTGATTTTTCGTAGTAGATGTTGCAGCTTAGCATCATGCAGCCGATATTGTTTCCTCCATGAAATGATGGTCAATTCTACTATCCATGCTACCTAACGAATAAAATTATTTCCTCGATACAAATTTGTCGATGCATGAGGCTGATGCGGTGGTGAGACTGATACAAGTGGCCGGAGACTGAAGCCAAATATCTTGCTTAACTAACAAATCGAATAAGGCTTTGAGAAGAAGCTTTGATTTTGCTTCCATATTCTCCAGGACAACTGAGAAATTCAACAAACTTGTCGACGTTCCATGTGTGACTGAAGATCTTGATGTAGATCTTTAGGTGTTCAACATTGCAGTGGATGAAGAGGTTCACCATGATGGCTGGTCCCAGAGACGTTCAGTTGTCTCCCAAACTGAGGGCCTGGATGATGCGTGGATCGTTCTTGGAGCCTTCTTTGAATTCTTCGAGTGTGAGCTTCTCGTCGTGGTTCTTGTCCATCTGGGAGAAAATTTTGTCAACCCGCTTCTGCGGTGTGTTCTCGTCTTCGTCCGCCGGCGTCTGGCCCTGGGTGGAAAAACATACCATAAATTAATACTGTTAACCCTCTACCGCCTGACATGAGTAACAGGAGCAATATTGTCACAATCCTACTTCCCAAAAAGGATACGTTCTAGTGAGCGCAAAATGACTTGCACTGATGGTTGCCGCCAAGTACTACAACTTTAAAATGTTCTCTGTTGAGTACAAACGTCCTCAGGTTGCTACACTCAATAGTTTACGTATACTTTAGTTTGGAAGTTATGTTCCCGGAGAGTGACATACGGCGGTAGAGGGTTAAGAGAGCTTCGATCGCCAGCGTTTCACCGCAGGTTGGAAAAAAAACATAGCGTATGTCACTACTGTTATCGTTCACCATAGTCTTGCTTCTAAACCCACCCACATATAATAAAAATTAAATCGGTACTCACTGCAGTGAGTGACAGAGAGCGTGAAAACGTGAAGTCACGGAAGGACGGATGGACGGACATGACGACCACAATAGCACCTTTTTTTCATAAATGAGAAAGTGCGTTAAAAAGTAATCAATACATATCAAAAATTAACTTAGTTTTTTAAGATGCATGATTCAATGCTGTCTAAATTTATGATAATGTTTAATAAGATTTGTTGCTTTTATTGGAGCGCAGCGACCCACATTCCGTCGGCTACACACGTGTCAACAACAGCAGCGGAGAACAAAGCCTAAAAATATCGCTCCGGTGGCTTTAGAAAATTCAATGCCTTAAAAAATGGAGAAAGCTCTATAAAATGCTTGAAAAAGATGTAAATAACTTCAGGAGAAATTTTGCTGTATTGTACAAAAACAAGATCTTGTAATGTTGTACGCTCAAAGATGACTGACTACTGAGAAACTAATTTCACTTGTATACGCTGTAAATCGAAACCTCGTAAATTATTCAGCTGAATAATGAATTGAATAACCAGGAAATGTTGTCACGTCTATAAGAAAGCCACTTTATAAGTTCTAGATCAAAACTGTGTTCGGGAAGATTGCAAGCCAAAAATCAATGGCTCCTGAAACTATCAAGAATCTAACATGCGAAAATCAATGCGGTTTTTAGCGCATTTTCTCATTTATGGAAAAATGCGCTATTGTGCTCGTCAGGTCCGTCCGTCCGTGACTTCACGGACGGACGGACGAGAAAATGCGCTCTCTAGCACTCACTGCACTGAGTACTGAGTTATATTTTTTCAATTACTGACTACCTAATATCATACCCAAGGAGATATCACCTTATACTTTGGAATTACAAGATTATTTAACAGCCCTGACTTGGAATAAAGTAATTAATTGTTGCTGAAAATCTATCGGAGTTTTGCCTGACGGCTCCGTACTCGTATTTTGGTCCATTTCAGCAGAATACGGTGCAAATGCAGTATTTTTCAAGTTGTGTTTGTTCTGGTTTCTCTATATATCATTCGTTTATACTTCAAGTAGTCTCTATATTTTATTGAGTTTTGAACTGATACCTAGACCTTACGATAACATAATTGTTAGCGCAGGTTTTTATCTTATCCGATGAATGAGAGATTTTGTTCTGCCTCTAATTTAACATTGTGCACAATTGTATGCTTTCTCACGTACGTCACTATTAACTTCGAGTGAGTAGCGCTTCATTTACCTCTAGAAAACTTTTCAATATTTAATATAAACTAACTATCATTTGATATGGACTCATCACCATTTGATATAAACTTACCACCATTTGATATGGACTCATCACCATTTGATATAAATTTACCACCATTTGATATAGACTTACCACCATTTGATATAAACTTACCACCATTTGATATAGACTTACCACCATTTGATATAGACTTACCACCATTTGATATAAACTTACCACCATTTAATATTGACTTACCACCATTTAATATAGACTTACCACCATTTGATATATCGCCTCCACAATGCTGTACATCTCTTCTCTCGTAATGTAGCCGTCGTTGTCAACATCGTACAGACGAAATGCCCCTGAAAATGTAACAGTCCAGTGCAAGTTAAATCATAAAATCGTTCGAAAGAAATGTGATGTTAATAAATGTGATGGAATGTGATGTTAATATAAAACTTCTTTTCCATGTTAATAAAATAATAATGTAGGCGGTAGCACCCAATTTTATCACCATACTGGTGAAGAAAAAAATGTACATTCAGAAATTTTCGTCCGCAAAGAATAAATTGACTTACACACCATTATAATTATGAATACGAGTGAATTGATCTTTTCCAATTTCAGAGCTTCGGATGGTTTATTTATTCATCCGAGTCTATTCAACGAGGTCATCAAACTCGAATAGAATACATATTCACTCAGCCGTTCAAAATGCAAAGCCTCTTGTAGATTAAAATTATAGCGGCATGACGTTATAGGTTCCGTAATATTGATCTGAAACCAGCAACGATATTATTGAATTAATGTTAATTATAGCCAAATTGTCACATGCCGTGTCATGCTTAAAAAGAACCACTCGATACAAGTTTACTGTCTCGTGATTTAACGCCTTCACAAATTTTACCACTTCTTCAATGAAACGGCAATACAGGGACATAATACTAGAATTAAGCATTAAATGATAAATTATCTTATAGAAAAGAACTACGTGTCTAAAACCGTTTATTTTCACACATGTGATTCTTTGTTTTTCCATATCGTTTGTACGGTGGCAAGCTATTGGTGATGTAATCATGGGTTTGATGTTATAAGTTATAATTATGATTACTATAAAAAACATCAGTGTTTCTCCAAGAGTTGATTCTTCCATTAATATTTAACAATTTTCAACTGGGCTAAAGAAATAAATTCATCACTGAAAAAGGCACCAGAGCAACATTCACAACTGAATAAGGCACCGGAGCTACATTTTTCACTGAAAATGGCACCAGAGCAACATTCATCACTGAATAAGGCACCAAAACTAGACAGAGAATAACTCTATAAACGAAATAACACTATTTATCACAATGAGATCTCTTTAAAATACTCACAGAGCAATTTTTCATCGACATTCCCCCGCGATGTGATGCTCAACGCCCTAATGAATTCTTCAAATTCTATGGAGCCATCCTGCAACGAGAAAAACAATCAACTGAGAGCTTCAGCCCATTCATGAAGCAACTAAAACATTTATAAAGCACATAATTGAAAGAATAATTGGGATTTTTATTTTGCTACAAAAATTACATTCGCTCATTTGGTTTATTTTCTTGACGGTTACCACAGTATCTATAGTAGAACAGTAGAACTTTGCTCGCGCGTGACACGGAGTCCAATCACTTTTAAATATTAGTTGTTAATATCTGATATTAAGAACAAATATATATGTTGTTTCATTGAAATGTATGCCCGATTAATTAGCTTAAAGCTTCATAGTCATTCAATTTTTAAAGTTTTCAATGTATTTCTTCCAGCCTAGGGTCTAAGAACGTGGAAATTCTGCAAAAGAATAACTATTTAAAATATGCGACGAAATTGCCCCGACACTGAGAATCTTCAGGCTATCTCCAGGCAAGCAATCTAATTAAAATTAACTCCAAAACGAAGTGTGTTGAAAAAAACAGAGAGTCTGGCAAAAATCAGAATGGAAACAAGGCCTAAATAAAGCGCATAAATCAAGCTCGTGGCACCGCTAGGGACTTATTTCGATACGCCAGTCGCCTGAGAATTTCCAGCGACAGGCAATCGCTCCAGGGCGCCTCCATATAAGGTAGGAGTCAAGGGAGCAAGCGCACCAATTTTTCACTCAAAATTCTTCATCTTATAAAAATTTATCAAAGGTTATTTGGGTGTGGGTTTATATTAAACCTAGCACTCCAAATATTTATGGCTGTTGAGAGGCATATCCAGGATCCTTATTGTGTCGGGATACTTTCTGGAACCTGACACTTGATTCCTAGTGGGTGTATAGGAAGGAATTGAAAGAAAAAGAGGAAATGTCTATAATCGAAATTTGATTTAGCATTTGAGAAATCTAAATTTAATTTAATTTACAGAGAATTTTTAATATTTGAATTTTTTCATATGTCAGAACTTTTTCAGATTTGAAATCAGGGTGAAATGGAAGCCCTATCTTCCATGTGAAATGTGTGTTTAAGTATTAAAATCACTTGTTTGCTTGAATCGCAAGTTAACCAGGAATTTAAAAGCAAAGAAAATACCACAAAAATTCACCATATCTTTATAAGAGAAAACGTTTCGAAGTCCAGCTCCATCGTCAGTTCACAACACAAAATTCTGTTCAGAAAAAGTTCAGTCCTAGAAACACAAATAAATCAATTAGGAAAGTAAAATGCACTAAAAGTAAATAGATAAGACATGAAAATAATGCTAGTAAACGTAAACGGCCTATCTATTTACTAATTCAAGAGGAAAGGAGCTAAAAGCGGCATTCAGACTAGGCTTCTGTTTGAATATATACAGGGATTCTAAAATTCGTATATCACTAACACCGGATGCGGAAGCTAGAATTTTGAAATCACTATCAGATACAGAGGTGTTGCACTGCTCGGCATGAACACGTACAGCAGAATGAGGTGGATGTGCAAGTAGGTTCCCTGTTCTATAACTCCTGCCCTTATGCTCAGCCAGCCTAGTATAGAAATTGCGTGCCGTCATACCGACGTACGCTGATGCGCACTGCGCACAACTATATCTGTAAACTAGTGACGATCGCATAAGAACAGGTATTGTATCCTTATACCTGAAAAACGAGCCGATTCTAAAATTGTTAACCAGCAACACATGAAGATTTACATCCGGAAGATATTTGGCAAATAAAACTTTTAATTCCTTTGACATAGTCTCAGATGCGGGTCCAAAGTAGGGAAAAGAACAGTAAACAACTTTCCTATTGTCACACTTGGGAACGACTGCAGTATATTGCTTGGACATAAACTTTTTAATTTGGGTATACACCAGGTGTGATGAAAGGCCATTGTGTGAAAATATATTGCGCAACAATTCAAATTCAGAGTGCATGGCTAGGAAAGTAGAACAAATGCGAAAGCCGCGGTTTATCAATGTTTGGACCCCATTTACCTTGAAACGAAATGAGCAAAAGCTAAAAAAGCTGGTGCTTAAGCCGGTAAATGTCGATTTTCTAAAAACAGAAGTTTGGAAAAGGTCATTAGATTTGGTAACTTTGCAATCAAGGAAAGACAAGCTAATAAATGGAAATGTGTGTTTGAAATAAATTTAAATCTGTGTGAAACACACATTTCAAGGAAATGTGTGTTTGAAATGGTCTCTATGTAATTATAGTGCGTAAACACTTGTTCTATTAACTCGATCAAAGATCACGGGAAAGACGGTATTCGGAATGACAGGATTCCAGAATGTCCCGCAAACGCCAAGCGAAACGGCACGCAGATAATGTATATGTAATAGTTCCGCCTAATATGTAATAGTTCTGTTCTGTAGATAATAATGTATATGTAATAGTTCTGTTCTAACATCTCACTGCCTACTAAATGAATTGTGATCACAATTACGGGGTTTGAATACTGAATACACAATATAAACGTCATTTATGCACGAAAAAAGTATATATAAATTTGGAAAAGTAAAATGATTGGATTGTGGAACGTTCATTATCTATGTAAAATGTCAGCAATCTGTGCGACGAGGTATAGGCAAATTATGTTCGATTATGGACATTTTGTTAATTTTATTATTATTATTATATCGTATATTCATAGTATACTATATATGTATAATAATTATTATATTATATTATTTCATATTATATTATATTATATTGTATTATATCTTATTATGTTATATTAAATGCTTATTTTCAGAACATATTATGTTTATTAAAAGATCTATGATTGTGATGTTAACAAAGACAGCTATTGAAACTGTTGAGTGTTTTTACCACAAAATTCACCGCCGTTTTGCATCACCTGGCAAAAGGGTATACATATTATAGATTTCCGTGCAACTGAAAGTTGATCAATTATAGTTGAATTAGCGTTCAATGTGCCATAACACCTTTTGCGTATCACTCAAAATTGTGAGTTAAGTAAATTCATACTTTAATTTATTTTCATACACTTAAGTTCATTATCTTACCCTGAAGTTCATTTTCTTACCCTTTCAGTTAATTTTCTTACCCTTAAGTTTATTTTCTTACCTTAAGTTAATTTCTTACCCTTAAGTTCATTCTCTTATCCTTAAGTTAATTTTCTTACCCTCAAGTTCATTTTTTATGCTAATTCTAACCGAAATTTTACTCACATTATTCTCATCAAAAACTCTGAATACCAGCGATGCAAATTTTGTGGGGTCGCCCTGAGGGAAGAACTGCTGGTAGATCTTGATGAAGCCCTGTAACACAGAGGCAAATTGAATTGAAAATAAAGAGTTTATGTAACATTTGTTCGCTACCTCTGTTTTATAAGTAAATAAACTGCATCAAGTAAACTCAACATGGATCTTCAATTGAAAATGACTGAGAATTTTTTTTAAAAAGATAAGGTGAACTTACGTAGCGTGTATCTTATTTAAAATTATTGAGAAAAACGAAGTGAATTACAAGTAACAATTAGATACGCAATTAAAATAGGTACACTTAATTGCTTACCTAAAATTAATGAACCCAGAAGCAACGATACATTACTTTCGTTAATTATATGAAGTTGCATGGTTTATGAAATTGATCCTCGTATCGAATTTGATTTAAAAGTAACCTTCCTAAGTCCATCATTCAAAAGCAACCAAAAATTTACGCAATTGAGTTCGTGAAAACTGTCGGCGATACAGGCTTTTAGCTTCGAGTAAATCTCATTATGCAAACCGTGAGCTGGAAAACAGTTATTAGCGTTCCATTTACATTAAAATAACGTATCGACGTGGCCGATATAAAATATATCAAAGGCGCTATTAGCAAATTGTTATATTGGCCCGGCCTGGCTAAGACAAATAAAACATCCTGCAAGCTTGGGCTGAGCCCTGCCGCTTTAAGCCCACATGTTGCGCATTCAGGGCACGCAAGTCACCAAAATCTTATTGAAAATATTATATACTTTTGTTGAGTTCAGCATTATTGTCATTGCATTTAATAAATATTATCATGTTATGTTTTCTTACAAGCAATAATATCATTTACCTAAATATTTAATCTGCTATATATGTTTCGAACGGCCGAAATGAATGGTTCGATGAATGAAGCAATGTATCGATCAGGATCCTAAAGTTGTGTGCGCGGTTCAAGAATTGCGCTGCAGAAATATGGATCCAAATCGGAAATTGATATATTGATCCACAATATGGAGAGAAATGAATCAAATAACAATCTATTGCTAGGAACGAAGTCAGACAATGGGAGCTTTATTCTCATGTGTCTTCTTAACGTTCAGTACGGAATAAGAATATTATTAATATAATTTTTCATAGCAAAATACCCGAATGTGATTCTTTAAAAAATTCATAAAATGCTATGCCGCAGCAGAAAGTTTGCTGAATAATGTGATCAGTTTCTAAATGTATATACATTTTTATTTTACTAAATTAAAAATTTTAATTTCTCAATGAAGTTCTTCAAGAAAGGTGAATGCGTAAAACGATTAAGACGAAACGAAGCTTGCAAAACTGAATACGTTTCATTGTATTCATATACATTATGTTTTTAGTTAGTATAATAACGAAGCAATTATATATATTTTATTAAATTTGAAGATGCAGACATTCTTTCGTCAGTTATGGAAAGATCGGGTTCCAAAGGCCGGATCCCTTGTGAATCAAGTCACGAAAAATTCAAGAATCGGCAACAGGCCATGGGCCTATTTCTTCAGTGCCGACACTTCTATTCTATTCTATTCTATTCTATTCTATTCTATTCTATTCTATTCTATTCTATTCTATTCTATTCTATTCTATTCTATTCTATTCTATTCTATTCTAATTCTCACCTCTTCCGTTAGCAGACCATTCGGGCAGTCTTTGAGGAATCCTTTGTGCCTGCGGGAAAAGAAAGACGTTAGGAGTGAGGGCTTTGGGCTCCAATATCACATATAATCTTTTGTAACTTGGATAATCCATTTTAGAACAAAGTTTATTCTATAAAATGCATAGTCTATTCTATGGCATGATTTGGCAGCCACAGCAAATGTTTAAAAATCAAAGAAAACATTCCTGGAAATGTTTAAATACTAAGTGTTTAAGTATAATGTAAAATGTTCTAGTATAATAAATTGCCAATGTAATTAAAGCCCACGGTAGTGATGTTGTGCCGATGAACGACACTTGTATCGCGGATACATCGAATATTACTCTCTATTTATAAAGGTAGCCTTTACTTCAGCCACACCTACAGCATAGAACTTTGGAGAAACATTATCAACTTTGATAGGATAACTTTGATCACATTGTAGGCATCATGTACACGAAACTTTTTTTAATGGTCATCGGTATTTTTAGCGCATTTTCTCATTTATGGAAAAAAAAGGTGCTATTGTACTCGCCATGTCCGTCTGTCCGTCCGTGACTTCACGTTTTCGTCGACGAGAAAATGCTCTCTCTGTCACTCACTGCAGTGAGTACTGAGTTATATTTTTTAAATTTAGTTTTATTTGCCGGTATTTTTTAGAGTTAATTTATTAGGTTGAGGCACCTCCCTGTTGTGTGATGTAGCAACTAATTGGGCTAACATTTAATTTTAAAACACGCATAAAAATTCAATCAGACATGAAGCATTTAGAGAAGTAGAGATGGTGATTCCATCGCTCTGTAAAATAATTAAACTGTTGCTTTTCTAAATGCTGTCTTATGAGCACTGCCAATGCCGGTATAATTGGAATGTAAGGTCTTGCATATTGCTTAAAGTAACCAAACTTTAATTTTATCTGATAATGGACATTCTAATGAAGAAAAATTGATGGAAAGAATTACTATTGAAACTAATAAATATAAGTGTGAACTAAAATTCTGGCTCATCCTTTGACAACGACCATCGTCATTCATATTTACGAAAGTGAACAAAACTCAACATTATTTCCAGTATGTCGCAGCCTTTAAAAAATATACAGCCTATTGCACGCGAGCAACACAACGTGGCAAAAAATCCACCCCTCACAAGAAGCCGCAGCCTCTCTGGCCTATGGCCAAAACTTTATACAAAAATTTCTCGCCGCTACCGACTTGAGTTCAGCCGAGCAAATCGCCTCCACAAAATCCCGCTTAAACCGGGCCTGCCGGGGGCTAGAATTTGTCAGGGTGACTCGACCAAACTTTGTGAGGGGAAATTATACCATGAATTTTGGAAGTGAAATAGTCTATCAAACATAAAATAAATCGCGTTTCTTGAAATTAGTTCTAATATCCTCAAACAAACTTTGTTAGGGTAAATTATACCATAAATCGTAGAAGTGAAATAGTCTATGGAACATGAAATGAACCGCGTTTCTTAAAATTAGTTCTTATATCCTCAATCAAACTTTGTGAGGGGAAATTATACCATGAATCTTAGTAGTGAAATAGTCTATCAAACAGGAAATAAAACGCGTTTCTTGAAATAAATACTAATATCCCTAATGTAACCTCACCAGGCTCTTAAAAGTGAGGTCTAAATTGTCGGGGTTACTCAACCAATCTTTGTCAGGACAAACTATACCATGAATCTTAGAAGTGAAATAGTCTTTCAAACATGGAGTAAATCACGCTCATTAAAATAAACTCTTATATCACTCTTTATCGGACTGTTGAACATAAGAAGAAATGTGTCTAGGATACTTGACTAAAATTTCTTTGGGAAGATTGCATAAAAATGAGAAATCAGGGCCATATCTATATTATCAACAAAAGAAATCCCGTTTCGTAGAACAGCGTTTCCGCTTAGAAACAGCCACAAACTTCTTTGTGGCAAGGCCGTCATAATTATTAAAAATCTTCACCATTGAATTTAAGCAATAATCATGACTGAGTGTCTTTTCGGTGCACCGAACATTGATGGTTCCTCAGAATTGCTGGGCTCGAGTACAATCAATTTACTGGTGAGACAGCGCCATGCATGAGAATGCTTCTGATGCTCCGCGCGATGTCTGTCAGTCACGTCACGATGTCTGTAAGTCACGTCACGATGTCTGCAAGTCACGTCACGATGTCTGCAATTCACGTCACGATGTCTGCAGCTCACGTCACGAGGTCTGTAAGTCACGTCACGATGTCTGCAACTCACGTCACGATGTCTACAAGCTACCTCTCTACGTCACCTTGTCTACAGCCTAGGTCACGATGTCTGAAGATCACGTCACAGCGACAGCTGATGACGTCACGGGTGCGTTCGATATAACGGTATGATTACAGCACACCTGGGCCGAGCCATGGCATTGCTATTGAATTTTACTGCAGCGCGAGTCGCTGGTAATGACAGCGGCAAGCGCTCCTGCCGAGCAGTTAGTCATAAACAAAGACAGTAATTCTGGCAATGCCGTCTTGGCGCTGGTCAATGGTCATGACAAAGACATGTATTGTGGCAGTGCGGTTTTGGCATCGGTCATGACAAAGGCAAGCATTGTGGCAGTGCGGTTTTGGCATCGGTCATGACAAAGACAAGCATAGTGGCAGTGCGGTTTTGGCATCGGTCATGACAAAGGCAAGCATTGTGGCAGTGCGGTTTTGGCATCAGTTATGACAGCGAGCGTAGTTTTGACACAGGTCTTGACAAAGGCCAGCATTCTTGTAATCCGTCTTTGCACCGGCCGTGACAATCACAATCATTCTAACAATACAGTCTTGATGCCGGTGATGGCAAAGGCAAGCGAATTAGCAATACCGTCCTGGCATCGGTCATGAACAAAGACAGGCTTTCAGATTGGCGGTATAGTCTTTGCCACAATCATGGTATAATAAATAATTTTGTTAATGTATTCTTTGCTCTGGTCTTGAAAGAGGCAATCATTATGGCAACATAATCTTGGCACCGGACATGAACAAAGGCAATTATTCTGGCAATACAGACTTTGTACCGGTCATGACCAAGTTTGTAATTCTGTACCGACATGCGGTATCATTGAGAATAAGGACAAAATCACGTAATTCTGTCGAAATTGTGCCATCAATGCTCCGTCATAAAATTTATTGCCAAAACTGAATATTCCTGTTTTGTATGAGTAGCTGTAAAGGCAGTCGTCAGAATAAATGTACATAAGGAAAAGTAAAAATGTCGAAAATATGCAATGTTTTTTAAAATAAAAATATATATACATTTTAAAAGCACCGCGCAAATGGACGCAAATAAATTTAGTTTACTAAAGCCATCTCTAGGTGCCTAGATTCACCGTGTCGCACCAGACGGCATAGATGTGTTGAAGTTAACAATTCGGTGAATAATTAGCGATCCTTGAATCTGAGATTGCCCTAGATTCTTAAATTCGTCCTAGAATCTCAAGCTATTATTAGGAATCGAATTAACTGACTTTGCTGCTGGAAAGTTCTTTTCACTTGATCGAAAAGGAATATTATGAATATTCATAAGCCAAATTTAGTGAGTTCCTCTTAATTTATTTCAACTAGTGCTCAATATTTGGTGATTAAATGCCCGGCATCGGCACGTGCAAAATCATAGCAGCCTCGGGGCTTGAGCTTGTGGCAGGTCAAGTTCAAGATGCGTGAGTTTGAAGCAATGATCGAATGTGCCAGTTACAAAATATCATACGAGAATTGGTCTCATTTCAAGAGAATGATCTTCATTATTGCATTTCCGCCACTATACCCAACGCCATATATGGCGTCAATTTTGCATCATTGTCTTTCCTTGATATCCAATAAGATTCTTTTAATCATATATATTTTGTATTGCGCATGAAATTTTATTTATTTATTTTGTATTGCGCAGAAAAAATGCGCATGAAATTACCAACACTTAAATATTTACAGATAATCTAGAATGGATGAATTCATAGCTGAATTTCCCCAAATACAAGCAAAAATTATTAAAAATAGGAGTCTGAATATTGTAAAACCAGGATAAACTAAAAAAATTGCCGTGTAAAAATTTTTTTTATTAAATTGCAGTTCATCATTGCGAATGTTAAAATTGATCATAAGCTGACAAAACATTCGTCATCTACGAAAAGATGTATCCAATTTATCAATTAAGTAAAGATTACACATGAAATCTTAATTTTTTCTTTTTGAAAATAGAGCGAATAACTAATTTCGCACAATAAGCTGCGATACGTCGTTGTCTTATCAGGTGATTGAGACTCCGCATGCTAATTCTGAGACAGAATGGCTTCGTGTGAAGTGGTGATTATGATAGAGTGGTGTAGGAGATAACGAGTGGTGTGGGTGATCACGATAGAGTGGTGTAGGTGATGACGATAGAGTGGTGTAGGTGATCACGATAGAGTGGTGTAGGTGATCACGATAGAGTGGTGTAGGTGATCACGATAGAGTGGTGTTGGTTATCACGACATACTGGTGGAGGTGATGACATCTAACGCAACGCTAATAAGTTTTAATTAATTCCAACCTAGCCTGATGCTAGCTGAACACGACAATCATTAATGAAATATACGTGCTTAATTTTGGGTGAACTTAGGACGTTCCAGCGAGCAAGTAGCAATTTCGAATGTAACGCTGATAATATAATTAGGTAGCAATTAGGTGATTATTATGTAGCATTTAAGTGATGATTAGGTAGCATTTATGTGATGATTGGGTAGCATTTAGGGGATGATTAGGTAGAAATTAGGTGATGATTAGGTAGAATTTAGGTGATGATTAGGCAGCAATTAGGTGATGATTGGGTATCATTTAGGGGATGATTGCCTATGATTGGGTTACATTTAGGTGATGATTGTGCAACGTTTAGGTGATGAAGAAGGTTTGTACTATACTATATGCACTGTAACTTTGAAAATTAAAAGCCCCAAAACAGAGTGAGTGCAGTAAATTTGTTAGGAATTTAAACTAGTACTGCCTCGAAATACTATGCTAAATTTTTTATCTCAATATAGCTCTGAAAAAATAGTTTCCAACTTGGAGAGAGGAAAGTTTTAATTTCTTTTTATAAGCTCGTATCTGCAGTCTGATGTGAACAGTTTCAAGATAATTTAAACAAAAAATTTCAACTATAACATGTATCACAAAAAAACAGCAGAACCCATGGTCTGAGTATGACAAGGATTTAAAGCGTTAGTAAGATTATTAAATTTTCACATTATCACGATGTAATGATTATCTTAAATGAGATCGAAAGGTCAAGAACGTGCCAGAGGAAGTATACAGGAAATGACACAGGCATTAATAGCTTGGCGTGCAACGTATTTTGTGTTGCAAGTTAATAGATGCGTAAATCATTTTCTAGGTTGGAATTCAGGTAACGTCATCGAGCATATGGAAAAACAGCAGTCAAGACTTACTGAAAATTATAAATTAATTGGTAATTGGCACATTTCGTTCGAAAAAAACATAAAGAGAGCATTAAAAGTTATACAGAATCTTATGAGATATAAACTATATGGCCTAGATTAAATCTTTAATTGATTTTACGACCTTTCTGAATCATATCAGACACGATTGCCATATAGAACAAGAATTAGTATTGCCATGATTGATGTTATGTTAAACGAAAGATACATGATACTGAATATATTCTGAATATAAATTCATTAATACCTTCTGAACCCTGAATGTATCGCTCAGCTAACTTGTAAAGTTACGCTTTAAGGCGACAAATTATGCTAGTATAATCAGGCGTTGGCCTGTGACGTGCAGAGCGTCTGAGCTAACGTCCCCTCGTCACACCACCAGCCTCGCTATGCTAACTACCTTAAGACATGGTCTCGTATGCTGATAAAAAACATAAAAAACTTACTGCAACTCAGTTTAATTTTATTTCTAATTGAGATGTTTTTTTCTGTTAAGTACTACAATTTAGGTAGAATTTATCCATCCCCTAAATGCTACCTAATCAGCTTACTGCAACTCAGTTTAATTTTATTTTTATGAGAGATAATTCATCTGTTAAGTACTACAATTTACGTGTGGGAATGAAGGAGACAAAATCAAGTCTGGCATTTTTAATATTCCAGATAAGAAAGCATATAATTGAGTTCAATAAGATGGCGTTCATTTTTTTATAGTCATACAATTTTGCGTAAAAAGTTGAAATTAGTTATCCACAGCATAGCAGACAGAAAAATAACACAATGAAATTAATTATTTCGAACTTCCAGCGTATAGGTAACGATGTTGCTTGAAATCATCGTGTGTTTTTCCAAGTAAGAATTACATGCAATCATTGTCAAATGCCGGGCATATTACCCATTATGCATTGCATGCAATCATTTTCTAATGCCGGGCATATTACCATTATGCATTGCATGCAATCATTGTCTAATGCCGGGCATATTACCATTATGCATTGCATGCAATCATTGTCTAATGCCGGGCATATTACCATTATGCATTGCATGCAATCATTGCCTAATGCCAGGCGTATATACCAGAAAGCATTGCATGCAATCATTGTCTAATGCCCAAGCGTATATACCAGTAAGCATTGCATACAATCATTGTCTAATGCCAGGCGCATATTCCGGAAGTATTGCCTGCAATCATTGTCAAATAGCGTGCGTTGATCAAAGTAAGTCTTGCATGCAATCATTGCCAAATATCAAGCGTGTATACCATTATGAATTGCATGCAATCACTTACCACTGTTTTATCTCTTTGTCCGTGACTGTGAATAAAAGAAAATGATCGTTAGCTTTGCAGACAAGTTCCCAAAATCAACCTAAGAAAATGAAATAGAATCCAACCCAAGACATTTTTTCTCGCATAAGTAAAGCTATTCATGTGTTTAGGAAGTAAGACTTCTGGATTAAAACTGAATACGAGTCTTAAGCTTAGAGTGAATACGAGTCTTAAGCTTAGAGTGAATACGAGTCTTAAGCTTTAAATGAAAACTAGTCCTAAGCCTGTTTGATTATTTAATTTAGACTGAATATTTGTCTCAATAAAAGAAATGTTGCTTAATTGTACGGCAGCTTATTTTGCTCGAGTCCCGCACGTCCACCTTAACATTCACACGCAGAATAAGAATAATAGAATCATACTAAATAATATTGAATATTCAAATAATTTGCATTATGTAATTATTTGCGTTTCATTGACTTTCATGTCGAATTCACATAATGAATAGTTAACGTCCCGGTAAAATATATATTGTGAATTGAGTCCTCCGTAAAAGGCTTAAGCTAAACAAGCAGTAGTAACATTGATCATAGTTCTGCATAACAGTTATAAACTTATAGGTAAACCGCTCTAGATTTTCTCTTCAACTTATGTTCGACAGTATAATGACACGTGTGAATCAACTGTTAGACGAGTAATCCCACTTAGTCATTCATCAGCGTATTCTAACCTGAAAGGACAGAAAATCAACTGTTTCTATCCATAGTTTACAGAAATAAATAATTTTACCATGAACGTGATGACTGTGGTAACGTGTTAACATGAATATCATGAACGAGGTAACTAATAATTTGCGCGGTCCGAAGTAGATTCAGTTCAGTCTCGGTTGAAGTAAGGCATAATATAATTTTTGGTAACATATTAACTCTAAAAACTTTCTATTCTGTTTACAAACACATCGGCTTTTATCTCAGCATCGGTCCATAATGTGCTGCAACATATACAATTATAAGATGAATGAGCTGGGCACAATCCTAATGAAGAGAGCTGTAAACTACTCAGTTGAATTTATAGTAGTCATTTTATGTCTCACAATACCCGTCGTTTGACCAGCACGAGCCATCGCAAGTATACTTTGCGGTGAGGGAGAACGTGTTACGACCGAGACTCTTGCTTCGTACCCGGCATGCGTGGTCGTAAAGATGATTGCTTGGCATTCCAGTCANAGACGTCTTGTCGTACAGATGATTGATTGACATTCCAGTCAAGAATGTGTTGATGAATGGCTCAGTGAGACGCCTTGTCGAACAGATGATTGCCTGGCATTCCAGTCAAGAATGTGTTGATGAATGGCTCAGTGAGACGACTTTGTGGGGAAGTCTCTAGGATGACGACGCGTAATGATTTTCTGCAAAGACGTTCGTGACATGTTTGTCTCTGTTGTTTCGTCGCTTTGAAGAAATCCTGTTCCGACGTCCCTGAGGTAATGTCTCTGCAGCGGCGTCATGTGGCAACGCCTCTGCAACGGCGTCATGTGGCAACGTCTCTGCAACGATGTCATTGTGGCAACGTCTCCGCAAAGGCGTCATGTGGCAACGTCTCTAGCTGCAGCGACATCATGTGGCAATGTCTCTGCAGCGTTGTTGTTGTGGCAACGTACCTGTTGCAACGCCCCCAGGTTGGTGTAACTTTGATAACGCAGTAGTAGTAGCCGCGTCCAAATAGCGATGCCCTTTTGGCTACGTCTTTGTGGCGAAGATTCCGTGATATTGTCCCCGGGGAAGAAGTTTTTGTAGTGACACAACATTGGTGATATCCACGTGACGACAACATTTGAGTAAGTCTGTGATGTGAAGCTCTTCTGACGATATGTAACGTTCCCGGCGGTGACGTTCCGGACGTATCGGTGACGTGTCTGCGGCGTCTGCGCCTTTCCCACGTACGGTTCCTCTAGGGCAAACGCTTGACCCCAAAGGCCACGCCCCAGGTATAGCTGGGTTCAAGATAATAGTATCTATGATAATATGGCATAGAAGATAATATGGTGTTCTGTTCATCAAGTGTTGGAACTCTACATCTTGATGAAGTCATATTCAAAGATATAAGCGAGTTCAGATAGCCATTTGCCCTTGATTTGGTTATCCTGATAAAGTTTGACCGAGATTGAGCTGTATCAGAACAACGTACAAAAAAGTGTGTTACTATTTAGACATTATAATCCATTCATTTCTCCGAGTGTATGGTATCAAAAACGAATTAGACAAATTGAAATAATTAGTTTAAAGATCGCTTCATTGGACTTTTTGAAATCCATTCATTGTTATTTGCCGTTATAAGAAAACTTTTACTTTATCGAAAGCCACTGCAAAGAATCTCAAAAATCTTCCCTTGTTCTAATTAACACAACAATTAGAACAAGGCACGTCTAATTAACACAACAAAAGCTTCAGCCAGTCTGCAGATATTAAATGTATACAAATGCCTACCGGGCAAACTTTAAGGCAGCAAGTTTAGTTTTATTTCCTAATGTTATGCCCGTGTGAAGTGTAGGGATTTTATACTAGGCACTAATAAACAGAGGGTCAGGCTGTAAAGGTAATTTTCAGAATACATTTTTTTTAATCCGCCTTCCGAATTGACACAGAAATCAAGTATTGACAGAGAAATCAAACTTGTCAACTACGATTAATTTGACTAATTAATTATGTTCAATAGCTGTCGATCCAGAGACGACAAGCGCTCTATTGTTCACTATCAACTCCAAGACGAGGTTGGCGTTGGCGACGCCTAAAGGAAGGAATCTTGTATCATCAGCCAACATCAACAATACGTCATAACATCAATAGCATCAATGTTATCAATAGCACCAATAGCACCAAAGTACCATGAGCAATAATATCAAAAATATCACAAGTAGGCTTGAAGTAGCACCACTAAAACCAATAGTAGCAATAACGCTTGTTGTATCAATGCCGTCAATATATAGCGCCAATAACATTAATAGCACCATTAACACCAATATCAGCAATAACATCGATTGCACCACTAACATCAATAGCACAACAAGCACCTATTTAACCTTTCAACATGTCTTCCACTGAAGTTGCCTCTCGTTACCAAGCACGAACAGCAGTGATGATGGTTGATGTGAGGCATGAGGTTAGTGTGTATACCACCATATAAACAAATTATTTCTCCAATTTGAAGGAACTATATATATAATTGAATACCGTGAGTGAGAAGGAATTTTACAAGATACCAAATGTAAAAAAGAGGCATATTTAATATTAGAGTGGAGATCATTGTCAAATTACCAATCCAAATATTTTTGAGAAGATGTGAACTACAACATGTGTTACAAACATAATTTTCTTTTTTATCTGAGACAATTTTCGAAGGAACTTTCCAATTTTAAAACTACTTGAAACTGCTCAGTACATGTAGTTACAAGTCTGCCAGAAGTCCCGAGAAAAACTCTAGAATTTCAAACCTCCCTGGGTCTCCATCAGCAGCTTGCGGAAAATCTCACGACCGCGCTGAAGCTGACTGATGGATTGCTGAATCATCATTCCTCACCTATAGCCTGAGGTAGGAAAGTATGAGATTTCTTCATCAGCTGCGAGATGGGAACGTCAAGCTGAAGTAAATCATAGGATGCTCACAATATTTCTATAGATTCATGACAAAGCAGACTGAGCCGCCCCCATACCGCTCTTTACAGGGATATTTCTTGGCAGGCTGCCACCGATGCTTGGTTAGAGAGAGTCGAGTCACGGCCGAGCTCTGGAACAACACGCTCCGGAATCTAGCTGCATCCTAAACTGCACTTTATTTATGATTCTCTCCTGCCTGATAATATGGATGTTTGCTACATTGCAAGTGCTTTGGAAGCATCGCTATCACCTGCTGCGACCTGGCATGTAATTCAAGATGCACCTGCTACGCGATAACTTCTAACGTGTTAGGAGTTAGGTTAAGTCTTCTTACCCTGAATAATTTGATTCTTATTGTTCTGAACAGACTAAATCTGGTCATCCTGAATTTGGTATTGCATACCATAAGAAGCAGGAGAGTAAAAAGTAAATAAAAAATTAGTTAACTTCCAATGTTTGGCGAGAATTTTGGATGGAATTGAAATATACATTTTTAAGCCTCCAATGAGTACCGAAATTCTTTAACAGAGCGTAAAATTCTTTAAAGTTCTCTGGTTGAAGTAAAAATAAAATTACCTTTATACATAGAATATACATCAAATTTTGTGCGTACCAATGGTGCGCAAAGCATAGCATTATTTACTCTGTTGTCTCATTCTACTCTGTTGCTCTGGCCTGCAGAGTAAAAGAAAACACCGACAGCAAAGGGTACGGAGGTTATATTGCCTGGCGAGACTCAAGGAAGAGTCCCTCAGAACTGAGGGCATATTGCCTCGCGAGGCTCAATGAAGAGTCCCTCAGAACTGAGGGCATATTGCCTCGCGAGGCTCAAGGAAGAGTCCCTCAGAACTAATTAGCCCCTCAGGGCCACGCAACATGCATTTGTCGTCCTTCTTTTACGTGCAGAAGCTCAAAAATACATGATTTTTTTCGTAGTAAAAGACAGGCTTGGATCGGAAATAGTGAGTGATAAATTATGTTTCTACCGATACTACAAATGGAGGTTTGTTGCCTATAAATTCACTGGCAATGTTATCGGCTGTTCAAACATTAATGGAACTTGATTCGTGCTTCGTAGAGAAGAATTGTCTGTTTTATCTTCACACGGTGAATTCAGACAAAGCTTCTTCAGTTTCTTCATGAATTTTTCCGACTGAGCAATGCGCTTGAATGTAAAATTATTTTTACAGAACCAGATTGAGATAATCTTTGATAAGTACACTAGGTTTATTATATGGCAAAGATAAAATTGTTTCATGAAATATTCACGAGCAGGAAAATTTTATTCCATCGCAATACTGCAACACATCATTTAGATACCCGAAGTACTTATCGTCAAGACTGAGGCGATTTGTTGTTGATTTGCATCGATTTTTTTAGGATGTTGCATAACGAGATTGCCAAGTTTTTATATTTTTTTCATAGGACAGCTGTGAATATGGTATATTTGAACCTTTTTGTTAACATAAGAGTGTGAACTTTTAATTTTTTGATGCTAGTAAAAGTTTTTAGGCAGCGTGTATGACCGATTTAAAGGTCGTGACCGTAGGTCACCACGTACCCCAATTCCAATTCCAATCGATCAGAACACAGGCTTCTCAGAACACATTACTTGTTCTTTTACATTTTATATTCGATGCAGACCGGAATTTATTGCTGAATGCAATGTACAAAAAAAAGTTGAACAATATTAAAGCTTATAAACCCTCACCGTAACTCCAGCTATCATTCAAGTCTTAGGAATGCAATTTTATCTTGTGGCATTCACATTTTGGTCTTCATTCTCAAGCACAGTCGAGTGTTGAAAACTTGTTAATTGTGTTCCAGCATTTGTAATTGTCCTGCAGGGGGCCGTTCTCGCTGATGCTTATTTTCTGGAGTTTCAGTTATTCATTTCAAACAAAGGCTTCGTTTACCGCGGAACTCTCAATAAATTAAACAAAAAGCTATTCACTTGTGTTCTCCAGGGCAGGTCGCTCATTGTTAGTTACCGAGACCTAATTGAGTTTGGACAAAAACAACACAACAGGTCTGATTATTTTGGGAAGGGACTGCCGGACATTGGTGGCTTTTCCAAATTGCTCTTCGCATTTTGAAAAAATAATTTCCTTTCGTCATAATAGTTTTTTTGCTCGAACTCTAGAGAATTTAGCTAAAATTAAGTAATTCTATCCTACCTAATATAACGTGCATAGATTGGTAACCTTAGCATTGCTACGTATGGCCTAATATTCACGAATTGAAAAATTTACTGAAAATTGAAAAAAGTGTTTTGAATGTTCTTATTGCAGATTAAAGGACGGCTTGAAAATGTGTGACTAGTATATTGCGGTCGAGACACAAACCTTGGCAAAAATTTCCGGTATGTTTACAATTCCAATCTGAACATAATCCAGTAAGGGAAACGTTCTTCGACAATGTACAATATTGAGGTCATGTTTTATAGTTTTAATTTACTGTGGTTGTTATGCAAATCGATACTAATGACATTGGCGCTATAAGAGACAATAAAATATAAGTTATGGATCGATTTTATGTAGGACTTTTTCTATTCCATATATTTTATGGCGACTGCATTTCGTTTTGTGGTGTACCAATGGTTTGGTATGGAGTGACTGTAAGTCTTTAGTTCAATTATCGGAATATCCTCAGCGGTTGCGCCGATCAGTAAAACACGTTCATTTGTGTTTCTTGTTAGTTAATAAAACAAATCAATAAATTTGCATCAGATTTTTATCTTTTTATCCTGGTTTTCACATGCTTGATCGTTAAAACACTCAAAAGAGATATTAGATTACATGCTGCATCCCAGAGCTAACAACAACTCTACTTACAATAAGTTTCGTCGCAGAGCTTCTGTATCGCTTCGGGTCTGAGCTTGGAATTTTTCTTGCCCATCTCGACGTCAACACAAAGAACTTGAGCAAATGAAAAGTGAAGTTATTGTACGGGCCTAAATTTTTCAGATCACGAGATGAAAAAACTTCTAAATTTTTCTAAAATCATGCCATTTCAAAGCGATAAACTTGCCGTACGCTCTTGCGTTTCCAAAGGAGTACGGTTTCGCATGATCACTGGCACTGAAGTCCGTGATGTAATGGACCACGATGTTAGCTAACTGCTATGATATAGATCAATTTTTCTTTTCTACCTTTGATACCAAGGGATAAATTTTCTTGTGAATACACACGTGAGTGACGAATTTCAGTTCATTAGTTTTGAAAATTCATAGGAAAATTCGTTCATCAATTAGAGCGCACTCCCCTTTCGGCGATCTTCGGACATCGACTAAGGAGAGCAGAGAGTTGGCCGGTGTGTAGGGTGGAGGCGCAGTGGTGCCAACTCCATTGTTGCAAGCGCCAGATTTGAAACTCTAATGACCCGTTATTAATTTAATAACCCCTTCTCCTAAAGAATAATTCTTCAATTTATTCGCACCCAGAAGCCTCAATTAATGTAAGATTATCTGGCTATATCTTACCAGCCGCCAGTCTTTGGTCGGTAACGCTGAGATCGATTAATGTGGAAACGTTTGGAAGGAATGAACTGTTGAGCTGCGATGGGCGTGGCTCAGCGTCATAGGGAACCCAGCACGACTCCTACACACTGCACTGGAATTCTTTGTACGGTCTCTGGAAATGCTTACGCATTAACGAGCTGTGCCATGCTGCTGTGCTGCGGTGCTGTGCTCTACTGCTAAGTTCTTCGTACATCACGCTAAGACAGGCCTGACTGAATGCACGCTTTACAACGACTGCGGCAATGTTTTATGGTACTGTTAAGCGCTTCAACTGAAAAGTCTGAAAGAAATGTACCTAAAAGTGTATGCACTAAAACCGGCAAGAAAACTTTGGAGAAGTTTGGTTTAGATTCCTCGAGCTCTAATCGTAATTTTCAGTTACACAACTATTGAAATGATGATTATTGCTTGAAACTTGGCCTTATGATTTTTTATTGGGTCTATGAATTATCTTGAAACTTTAATTAATTTTTTATTCATTGAAGGGTTTATTATTATTCGCTCTGTCTAAAGAAAAATCTAGATAGAGCGAAATAGATGTAGATTTTCTTATTCTGAATTACTCCAATTCTTTTTTTATTTTATTTTTATCACAATATTTCCTGATGGCATAGGCCATGGCAAACCTCAATTTTATTATTAAGAGTTTACACTCGATTGTGGGTGACAGTTTGCATGAATTTCAATTGAGACGCTTTGATGTATGTGACAAGATCATTCAGAAGTTCATCAATAAGATAGCTAAATTTCTGTAGTGAAATCCGTAGACTAAAATCTAAAATCAAATGTTTGAACTTATTCTCATGGTAAACTATCTTAGAATTTTAGAAGTATATCACTATACATTTTAAAATTTTTATTTCTAATAAGGGCCATTGTGAATTCATGATAGATCATTCTGTATTCTTTACTGAGGAATGTCTCTTGAACTGCAGTTCAATTAGTTGCCAACAACAAACAAACCAAACACAAGGTTGATATATACTGTTGAGAGATAACATTTTAAACCTGCTAAATAAATCAACCTGATTAAAAGCATTCAGCAATGGCATAGACTGCCTGTAGCTTTTAAAAGTACGGTGTTAAAATGAGACGCTCACAAATGGGAGCGTGACTGAGTCTGATTAGACACAACAGCGTTCGTTATTGTGATAAATGACAGACACTACAGCCGCTGCTCGCTCTAAAGTTTGTCTGAAGTCGGAGCAACAGGTGAAGTTTACGATTGCCTGAACCAACCTCAGGTAAGTATTGATTTCCGACGCAGGTATTCCTTCGTTACATGTACACACGGAATACAATAATGTGAACATATCTTAAGTAACGCATTGATTTCTAACACAAATACTGCTTCGTTATACGTACGAAACGCAATCCTCTCAATCTGCCTTAAGTTACGCATTGATTTTTAACACAAATATTGCTTCGTTATACGTACGAAATATAACACTCCCAGCTAACCTTAAGTAACGCATTGAGTTCTAACACAAATACTGCTTCGTTATACGTACGAAACGCAACACTCTCAACTAACCTTAAGTAACGCATTGAATTCTAACATAAATACTGCTTCGTTATACGTACGAAACGAAACACTCTCAACTAACCTTGAGTAACGCATTGAATTCTAACACAAATACTTCTTCATTATACACACGAAATACAACACTCTCAACCTGCTATAAGTAACGCATTGATTTATAACACAAATACTCCATCGTTATACACACGAGACGCAACACTCTCAAGCTACCTTATGCAACGCATTGATATATACTGCAGGTTTTCCTTCATTGTGCACAGCGGTGAGAAGGGTTCACTGAACATCAATAAAAAGGGAAGGGTATTCATTTAATTATATTACAATTCTACACTAAAAATATTTCAGTCTACGACCTGGATAAGTTCTAATTGCAAAAAGCTAATATTATCGTGATTGTTACTTTAGTCATACATCGGGAGGCATAATTATGTATGGTTGAGTGTCATGACCTTAAATGTTAGTGAGCGCATTACGTCCACGTGCTCATGGTTCCATTTATCATGAGGCAGAACACCAAAAACGAATAACTAAAACGATAGAAATATTTTTAAATTTAATAAATTCACATAACTGTGGAGTCTTTCTTTAAATTCACTTAAGTCTCTGTAGAAGAACCCTTCCTCCTTCCAGGTATCGCATTCGCAACCTCGACGTTTTTTATACTTCACTTGTGACTGCAGATAGTTTATGTGGAGCTAGTAGCTACATACTGTAAATATTTCCAGCATTGTGAGGGCATCGGGATTATGAGGGTATGTGAGGGTGTGAGAGGGTACGTGGGGGTATATGGGAGGGTACGTAAGGGTATGTGAGGGTATGTGAGGGTATGTGAGGGTATGTGAGGGTATGTGAGGGTACGTGAGGGTATGTGTGGGTATGTGAGGGTATGTGAGGGTAATTGATGGCATCGATACGTTATGGATCCTGTCTCCACTTTACGCCATCAGGCACCTGACCTCTGGCCACCGAGGCATTGATCGTCTGTACAAATCACGATTGCCCGCAGACAACTTCAGCCGTCAAAAATATGCCACGCATACTAAGCAGATCTTTCTGTCAGACTTCGGTAGCTTCAAGGCAGTCAATTAATCCTTAAATAATCATACAGTAATATTATAAGAACATAAAGGAATGTTGTTATAATAGTATTTTCTTGTATTCAGTACAATATGGAGTTCTAATCTAAGACAATTTCACCGATAAATAATTTCTTAGCCCTTTCTTAACCCTTTCGTGACGGCAATGTGTTTTACAACTTTTTATTCATATTTTTCTACAGAATCATCATGTACTTGGACCGAATATTGCATCTACGTAAAAAATAATTAAATATATGTTAATAGTAAAAATTATATATTTGGGACTAGAAAATCCCGGTAGTATATGGTTCCAAGTGAGGTGACACAATTTGCGACATCACTGATTTTGATAAAAAAATATTTTCGTAATATTTTTTGTTAGTAGTTGAATAATATCACAAACTTCCTTTGGCAAACGCGTGTAATAGCGTATATAATAACATATTCCAAAAGAGCAAATATTGATATTCCTTTAGATTGGACATGTGTTGGCGCAGGAGTGTTTCTAATATGTTCCTGTAGTTAGCTATGCCTTGAATTTAGCGCTACATGCAAGTTATAGAGTAAATCGTTGGGGGGACGTCACAGTCCCGTCAGTCAATTACTTTTGAGTTGACATGGCGCAGGTGTGTTACTTATGTGTCCCTGTAGTTAGCTATGCCTCGAATGGTGCGCTGTATGCAAGTTATGGAGTAAAACATTGAGTGGGACGTCACAGTCCCGTCAGTCACGAAAGGGTATTAAAATGCAACTTTTGAATGCAACGTCTGATTGAAGTCTGTCTGATTTTTCAGTCAGACTTCGGTAGCTTCAAGGCAGTCAACTAATCCTTTGAAAATCATACAGTAATATTAGAAGAACATAAAGGAATGTTGTTATAATAGTATTTTCTTGTATTCAGTATAATATCGAGTTCTAATCTAAGGCAATTTCACCGATAAATCATTTCTTTAGAATTTTTTTTTAAATTGCAAACTTTGAATGCAACGTCTGTTTGAAGTCTTGAAAACAATCTGCTGTTGCCTTTATTCATTCCATAAATAAACTTTTATTTATTCAGAAGTTTTCTTGTAATTTAGTTTACTGGCAAGGCTCCTGAAAATTTACAATTGGTAAGTCTGTTCCATACAAACGTACATATATTGTACCATAACATAACCAACTACCTTACCTGTATGGTATACATATATGTATTTTACTCATTCCTGTGTACTGGCTATTAAGACCCTTTACTCTAAACACTAAGAGAAGTATGTCTTTTCAACTAACGTTCTTTCTCAAAATTATCGTTAGTTCACAATCATGCAGCTGCTATATCGAAATTCTAGTTTTTAAAGGTATGATGGTATGGTATGATATGATACCATTCTGTATCTATGATAATAGATGTAATACGCGGAATGCTCAGCAAAATAGAAGTTGAAATAATTTAAATATCAAATATTAAAACCGTATTATGCGTAAATCAAGTATCCTTAACATTAGCGATTAATATATGATTTCAATAGCTACCAATATACCTATAGTATTAGAATTATTCATGTTTCGATGTAGCGATAAGGGGCAAAATATTAGTAGCGAATATATATTTTTGTTAATATAAAAAATCCGCTCGTATACGTTCGGAACGTATATTTCTGACAAATTTTCATATAACGCTTTCAACGCATAACTTTAACAAATGAAAACATATCTTAACTCTATTAGAAAAAAAGGAGCATATTATTCACTAGACGCTGCTCCGAGCATTATAATACTAATATTTCTGACCAGAAACTGGCGCACAGAGCTGGGATCGAACCCGCGCCTCTCTGCGCCAATCTTGGTACTCTGAACTTTAACCACTGGGCCACCCTGGGCCACCCTGCCCCTATAGCTAGCTGCCCCTATATAGCTATAGCTGCCCCTATTATCCGTGTTTTTTTTCTGCTTCGTTTCGCACGATAAATGATACCTAAGTTTTCTCGTATTTTTCACAAAAAAGTTTTCCAGCTTGAAACCGATTTTGATCTCACAAACATCTAAGCTTATTTATTGCATGATCACAATTTTTACGTTCGATTCGTTTTCAGGTAGTGCGCTAAAAGCCTACTTTTAATAGTCATTGCATGCCTAACAACCTTGCGTTTAGCCCACTAGGCGACGACGTAGATTACCAACATTCTGACAATGCTCGCAGAAGCGAATAGTGAATAAATGGCGTCGTTGTTAATTAGGTCATGCTTGCTTTCGAAACGACTATGAAGTGAAAAACGCTCGCTGGAACGTATTGTAAATAAATAGTTTCGTTTTCAATTTGGCCAAGATCGATTATAATTTGATTAAGTTTTGCAGGGAAAAAGTGCTATGAAATTTGAATGAATCAGTTATTTCTAAAATTCGTCAATGTATGATATGGGTAATAAAACGGTAATAAAAATAACATTTTACCCAGTCATTCATCATTAACGCAAACGACCGATTCGACACTTCAGCGAACTCGCGTGCGAACTCGCCTGCGAGCTCGAACTTCATTTTCAACTCTGGCACTCATAACTCCTTCAATTATAATACGGAAAACCTAACTTAATTTTCAACTCTGGCACGCATAACTCCGTCAATAATGGACGGATTTTTTTCAAATTTGAAATATAAGTAGATAATATCAATACGCTGCGGAGGGTATTTTTTTCAGATTTTTACGTCAATTACTTTTTGTTAATGCCACAAAATACTGAAACTTGACCTGACTAGGACCTAACCTGCGAGGTGAACGTGAAGTTAGGTTTTCGGTGATAATAAAAAAGTTATGAATGTAAAAATTTGAAAAAAAATACCCTCCGCAGCGTACTCATATTATCTACTTATATTTTAAATTTGAAGAAAATCCGTCCATTATTGACGGAGTTATGCGTGCCAGAGTTGAAAATTAAGTTAGGTTTTCCATATTAAAAAAATTATCGATGAAAAATTTTGAAAAAAATACCCTCCGCAGCGTACTGATATTATCTACTTATATTTTGAATTTGAAGAAAATCCGTCCATTATTGACGGAGTTATGCGTGCCAGAGTTGAAAATTAAGTTAGGTTTTCCATATTAAAAAAAATTATCGATGAAAAATTTTGAAAAAAATACCCTCCGCAGCGTACTGATATTATCTACTTATATTTCAAATTTGAAGAAAATCCGTCCATTATTAACGGAGTTATGCGTGCCAGAGTTGAAAATTAAATTAGGTTTTCCGTATTAAAAAAAATTATTGATGAAAAAATTTGAAAAAAATACCCTCCGCAGCGTACTGATATTATCTACTTATATTTCAAATTTGAAGAAAATCCGTCCATTATTGACGGAGTTATGCGTGCCAGAGTTGAAAATTAAGTTAGGTTTTCCGTATTAAAAAAAAAATTTCGATGAAAAAATTTGAAAAAAATACTGTCCGCAGCGTACTGATATTATCTACTTATATTTCAAATTTGAATAAAATCCGTTCATAATTGAAGGAGTTATGAGTGCCAGAGTTGAAAATGAAGTTCGAGCTCGCAGGCGAGTTCGCACGCGAGTTCGCTGAAGTGTCGAATCGGTCGCGAGTTCGCTGAAGTGTCGGACCGGTACGCAAACGAATGATGTTTTGCTTGTGCTAAAGCTTGAAAAAGTCGGGAGCGCTGCCGTAGCCCAAAAATTTGACTCTTAAATCAGCCCAAGAGCCAATGGCAACCCTCTACATGCAATAGAAATAGTCAGCCTAACACATAAGTCGTCTCAAAAAGTCGATTATTTCTCACTCAGCATGTGTCGACATGGATGAAAAATTTAGCCTCCTGAACATTCGAGCTAATTTAGAAAAATCCTGAAAATAAGAAGATACTAACTCTATAAAGCAATCTATGAACTTACAACAAGCAAACTGATGGCTAATATAACAGTCACCTGCAGCAGGATTGCATGTTGTCACTCAAGGTCGCAAAAACATGAAAGTCATCCTATAGTCTCTCATCGCACGCAAAGCCCTTGAGCCTTATACCCGCCAGGTGATGTGGATGTGTTGTTACCCAATTTTCTTCAAAAAAGCGTCATAAAACGACGCAATAATGTCGGATAATGTCAACCCGTTCTTGTTTTCAGCCAGCGCCTCGGTATTTGATAACATTTCTGGATCCTCAGCTGTACTTCTCCCGCCTCAAAGTCAGTAAAATCACAATTAATTAAATCTTGAATGGTTAGGCTGGCAACAGGCAGCCAAGGGTCCTAAGTCCTAAGCCTAACTCCTATGTCTCCTAAGTCCTAATCCTAGACACTTCAACTTGAGTTACGGTAGTACTTAACTAGGTACTAATTACTACGTAATAGGCAAAGCCTCTAGCAAGTCTAGACTATTCTGCTGTGTTACCATGCAACAGTAACCAACTTGCCTAACCAAGTGCAAGTAGGCATAGCTCCTTACTTACTAGGTACTTGACTTTATTCCAAACTGGAAAATAGGAGATAAGTGAATGAGAATGAGACACCCGTCACCCATGAATGAGATGAAAACCTGGTCTTTCACTGTCTCATTGCATTGCCAATTTCACATGTTCATATGTCCCTTTCCTAATTTCTTTTAAAAATATTTAAATAAATAGCCTAGCTATTCTGCCAGCACTTTTCAAAAGTCACTCTTGAAAAAATTGTTTCCACTAGTGGCACTAGAGATTTTTGAAAATTTTTGGCCTTTTCCCTTTTAGTTTTAGCCTTTTAGGTACCTAGATTGCTGAATGCTGAGCAATGTAAAAGGCCAAGATTTTAATACAATATTTCCTATATGGAGTAGGCTACCTATTGGACAGAAGTTTTCTAAAATGGCAGGTAAAAACAATAATTGATGTTTTTTTTTAATTGCAGATGAAAATACTGTTTTTCTTATTTTTACTGAATGTTGGAAAAATTCAAAGGAACAGTGGAACAAGTGAAATTTGCCATCATAATAGCCAGATTCATAGGCATTTTTGTCCAATTTACTAGTAGTTTTATCAAATTAATGTAATTTTTCTGGGCAATGTTTTCAAAAACTTTAATTCTATAAATTTTAATTTTTACCATTATATTCATTCTATGTATAAATATTATAGTTATATAAATAAGTTTTAAAGTATAAATAATCATCTGCAAGGGCAACTTCATCTTTATGTCTTTAATTTACTGGGCTTCTGTAATACTGTACATGGATAGCTTTGATGAAATGTAATGTATAATATATATATATATATATATATATACCTGCTTTTATTAATGGGTTTAAAAATAAAATGGAAAGTTATTGCAGTGAGTTACACTTTCACTTTTATCCTTTTTCATTGCAATTTGCTAGATTTTGTAATAAATTGTTCACAGGCTTAAAGCAAAGTGGTAACTAATATGATGATAATATAATACGGTATTCCATTTTTCAGATTTACCACCTGGTATTGACGAAGGATCAGCTGGTGATGTGGGCTCCTCTGCATCATCTTTACCAATGACCTCTGTTTCCCCAAACTGTCAGTCACTCACTTCACGTGCTGCAGAGAACAATTCTGAAGTGGAAGGTCAGCCCCAGCCATCAAAGGATTTCACTGTGTTTTCATCAACCCCTTCAACCCTTCCTGCTCCAGGAGCTAGCCAAATTGATTCATCTATAACTAATTCAACCCAGGCTTCAAATTTAGGAATATCCATTGCTCCACCAACCCCTTTACCTTCTTTTGGCATCAGTTCTCCCACTCCCATGACAATAGGCATTGCTAACATTAGACCAAGTCCATTTTTACCTCCATCAATGGCAGGCTCCCAATTGCAGGCAAAAATAGATCCAAATGGAGCTTGCTGTACTCCATCGCCTGCCACATCATCACACCATTCTCGCTCCACTACCCCTGGCCTCAGCACTTCGCAGCCTGAAGTCCAAAATATTCAGCCCTTGCCTCATTTTGGTGCCTCAGTGCCCCCTCCTCCCTTGGCTGGGACATTTGTACCACAGATTCCTCAGGGAACATTTGCACCCCCTCCCCCCTTAACCGCGACTGGAGTCTTAGCACCATCTCTTCATCCTGAAAATATGCCTTTGCCATATCAGCCTGGGAATTTTCAGCCTCTTCATTCTGGAAATTTTCCTGTGCAACCGCTGCCTGGTAGTCTTCCTCCTCAAATGTTATATGAACAAGACATGGCCAGACACCAATCTCCAGCCACTGCATGGTCTCCACCAGTGTTTGGTGAGTTTTACTAATAGATTTTTCTTACTTTATATTTTGTGCAGGAGCAGGCACATTATGGTATGTCAGAAGCAGACATATTTTATGCAGAAGCAGACATATTTTGTGCAGGAGCAGATGTATTTTGTGCAGGAGGAGATGTATTTTGTGCTGGAGGAGATGTATTTTGTACAAGAGCAGATGTATTTTGTGCAGGAGCAGACGTGTTTCATGTAGGAAGAGGTGCTTGGCAGAGGCAACATGAACATGGGTACTCAGCTTAGGTCCAAATACTTCTGATGGTAGGCCTGATGGGTATTTGTGTTGTTTCATATTAGTTAAAAAAAATATAACTCAGTACAGTACTCACTGCAGCCAGTGACAGAGAGCGCATTTTCTTGATGACGAAAATGTTAAATCACGGACGGATGGACACGACAAGCACATTAGGGCATTTTTTCCATAATTGAAAAAAATGTGCTAAAATTGGGGAGAGTTTAGCTAATTTTTTTATTTTAATCCCATCATTGTTTAGAATTTATTAATTAATGAAAATTTTCAAATTTTACAGGTGAGAACCCTGAATACAAGGAGACATCGGTTCTACCTGCTTCATTTGAGACAATGGCAAGTCAATAATTTGTAATAATTTGGTTTAATATTTAACTACAATAAATTATATAATATAAGCTTGTTAGGCTAAAGATGTTGACAATTCTTTTGTCTTTTCATTATATATGGAAGCCAAAATTATTGATTTTAGTAACATTAAGTTGATACCTGTAGCATTGCTTGGGAACCTTTATGAAACTGTCATCAACTAAACAAAAGATATGTTATGGTTTAAGGATTTCCAAGTGTCTATTGTGCTATATATTACACCATATGTAAGAAATCCTCAATGAAACTGTTAAACACTAGCTAATTCTGTTTGATGGAGGTGCAGAAATTTAATACTCCCTGTTTACACTCTTGAAAATTATGAATTTTAACTAATGCATAAACATTGCTTCATACCTACCATGGGAGAGGTAATGTTGACAGCCATCAATGGTTCTTAAATTTTTTGTATGAATATTTATTGTGAAACAAAGGGCCTTGAAAGCCAGATTTTATAAACTCTGAAAGGAGAAATTAATTGAAAAGTTTCACTTAGCAACATTCTACAGAGAGCATCAACCAGGAGAGGAGGAGAGTAGGTGAGAATATAATGATTAAGAAAAAAAGTGAGCAGGTAAACTGTTGTACAATGGTATAGGTAAAACTATGGTAAAATGGCATTGGTAAATAGTTGTGAAGAATCATTGGAAAAAAACTCGGAAAAGATTATGTGTAAGGATAAAATAATACGCATACAATAATACATTGTCAGCTTTGATTAGGCCATATTGGCCTGTCATCGATCTGTGAACAATATGCCATCTTTCTAATTTTGACAAGAATCTCACAACTAGTGATGGATTTTGAAGATGTGCATTGGCAGAGTTCTCATTCTTTCAGATATCCTCGCTAATTTGCTTTGATTTAATGTGTTCAGGTGTCAGTTGACCTTGTTTTGCTGCTCCAGTCATGGTGATATTCAACACTCTGCCACACTAAGCTTAAAAATACAGCAAAGGTCCACGGATACAAGGGCTTCAATAGCCATATTTTATATCCCCTTGATGTTACAGGCCAGCGCAGGGTTGTCACCCGTTGCACGTTACCGGCCCATCATTCCTCATTGGTTCTATGCGGTGCCTGGGAAGCCTCTTGAGTGGAAGCCATTCTCTTTCACCGACTCCATCAATCTTGAGGAAGCACATAGGAATGGTAATTTTTTTACAGTGCACTCTTGCTATGAAATCCGTGTTAAAATTTCAATCACTTCATCTGCTAGTTTTTTTTTTCAGTAATACTGCCTAATTTCAATAGTCACTGAAATATTTATCTTTTGGATAATTGTGTTATAAGTAACTATTGAACATATTAAATTAGCTGATTAAATAGTTGAAATGGGTACTAGTTCATAAACGTCTTCTAATATACAGATTATCCTGTTATTCTCTTCAGTATTTAGAATCCAGGCATTTATAATTCATGCTTTCTCAATGGATTGAATTGGTAACTGTTCCCCTGTTTTAATGTTATTCATCTGTTACTATGTCACCATCACCACCATATTTGCAGGAGGGTGTGACGGTGTTGCTATGTCACCATCTCTAAACAATATTTGCAGGAGGGTGTGATGGTTTTACAATGTCACCATCACCCACCATATTTGCAGGTGTGATGGTTTTACAATGTCACCATCACCCACCACATTTGCAGGAGGGTGTGATGGTTTTACAATGTCACCATCACCCACCATATTTGCAGGAGGGTGTGATGGTTTTACAATGTCACCATCACCCACCATATTTGCAGGAGGGTGTGATGGTTTTACAATGTCACCATCACCCACCATATTTGCAGGAGGGTGTGATGGTTTTACAATGTCACCATCACCCACCATATTTGCAGGAGGGTGTGATGGTTTTACAATGTCACCATCACCCACCATATTTGCAGGAGGGTGTGATGGTTTTACAATGTCACCATCACCCACCATATTTGCAGGAGGGTGTNGGGTGGCACAGATGCCATTTGTTGGGTGGCACAGATGCCATTTGTTGGGTGGCACAGATGCCATTTGTTGGGTGGCACAGATGCCATTTGTTGGGTGGCACAGATGCCATTTGTTGGGTGCAATTTCATGGCAACTTTCAGTTCACTTTCAGTATTCCCTGAATTGAGTTTCAGTGCAAATCTAGAGAATAGAGTTCTGCTTAATTCAGGTTGTACGACTTATTGTGAACCTGTGATATTGAGTCTCTTCTGTGTGCTCAAATGATGTACAATTGAACACTTGAGGGGTGAACAATATGATTTTTATGAAAAAGAATAAGCTGCAGTCGTTGAAGTATATAACTACGAAAGAATAAGCAGCAGTCGTTGAAGAATATACAGTGGGGGGAAATAAATATTCGTACACTTGAAAAATCGTATTTTAATGTATGTAAGTACACAAACTTAACAGGAAAAGTGATTTAAATTATGTATAGAGACGCATAGTATTCAAAAATACTATCAAAAGAAATTAAATCTCAATGCAACAAAAAACAATGCAACATGTTCACTTT